CTTAAGCATTACTAAAGAATTTATTAACATAAGATAATTATTATAACCCTCGTATGTCGGAGATAATAACTGCGACATCGTCACAGCAAACCTTCCGATTTCCTTAAAATTTTCTCAATAAAATAATGTATGTTCTTTTGTTATTGCGCAACGACGTCCGACTGTATCGACATTTCTCCCAAGACCATATCAACGAAAATAAGCTGTAAATGCTAAAATAAAAGCGTGTGATTTTAAGGCGACGAGATGAGGAAGAGAATTAAAAATCGGTATTTAAGCTCGGTATAACAATAACAATAATAACAATTATAACAATAATAATAACAATAATAATAATAACAATGATAACAATGACAATGATAATAATAACAATAACAATGATAATAATAATAATAATAATAATAATGGCGAGCAAGTTTGAAAAGTACTATCGTTCGGAAATTCCAGTAGAAATGCATAGTTTAATTATCTTTTGTTTCTTTTTCTTATGCTTTTCTATAAGTCGAAGATTTAATCGAGCTGTGTGCAAGGCGCGAGCTTTTATGAATTTTACGAAGCTTTTACGAAGGATAACGTGCTATTGGGCTTTTCTTATGAAAGGCGGAAGAGCCCGAAGGAACGAAGAACGTAAGGGAAATGCCGTAGGGCCGCGCATTTTGAAGCGCGAAATAAAAGTTTGGCGGCGGCTGCAACGGCCGAAGCCAGCCAGTAGTGGCCGTGTAAGGGAAAAGGAAAAAGTCGCGGTGGCGGTGGGGAGAGATGTGTGTGTGTGTGTGTGTGTGTGTGTGTGTGTGTGTTGGGGCGGGGGGAGGAGGAGGAGGAGGATAAAATGAAACGAGCGCGGCGTGAACGGCGATTGTATTATATATTGGGCCTGGCATCGGTGTGAGAAATCGATGGTCGCCCCGGGGATGACCGTCCATGGCCAATTCCGAAGAGCATCAGCCGATTCCACGAATAGAAAGCTCCCCGAGTCCCGAGGGCCGAGGTCCAAGCAAGAATTTCCGGTGCGCCCAAGGGGGACGCGGATGACCGTCGCGCGTATTTTAATATTTACTCTCCGCGGCTCTTGTGCGATGCAGCTCCCCGCCCCCGCGCGGTTAAAGCACCACCGTAGGCGCACAGGGCCCTCACTGTTTCCTCTCCCGGCCCGATGGAAGCATAAAATCGCGCGTAAATAACCCGGACGTAAATAAGGCCAGCAGCGGTAGCGGCAGCGCTCTCTCCTCGCTCTCCTCGTCCTTTCCTTTATTTTCTCCCCTCCACACGGGCCGCCCTCCCTCCCAATCCATCCGCCGACCGCCGATCGACCCCTATATGTATATATATATATATATATATATTCTTTTTTCGTCGTGTCGAAGACGGACGGTGGAAGGAAGGTGGAAGGAAGGGAAGGCTGTTGTGCGCGCCGATAATTCGGTACAGCGGAGATTTAATTAGGAGAGTGTTGGGGCCCGCGCGCGCCTATGCCAATGCGAAATCGGCTCGATTAGAGGAGCGTGGAGCCGAGAAAGAAAATCGCTTCAAACCGGCCGCGCTCGCTCTCAACGACATCATTCCTCTTTGTTTATCCGACCTTTTCGTACTCTTTTTTTCTTCAGCTCTTTTTTTGTATTGAGAGGCAATTATTATCATAGCGCGATATCTGCTGCTGCCACTATTTATAGCAACGAGTCTCGCGTCAGCGAATATCCTCAAAGTCAATTGTAGTTTACAATACACAGGACAAGGTGAAACGTCGCTTTACCCGAGCCAAATTCATAATTTGATGTTTTCTCTCTCTCTCTCTCTCTCTCTCTCTCTCCCTTTGTCTACTATCCACCGACCGTGTGGTAATTAATTATCAAACCTATTATTTACCTATTATTAGGCTCCATGAGAGTGACGTATTACTCATTAACGCCCGGGCAATAAATAAGCCAATTTGTTGCTTCACCACACATATCTCTCGTGATTGTTTTTTTTTTTGGTTTTTTTTTTTTTTTTATTTTCCTGATCATTTTTACAAAAATTTAATAATTTTGCGACATTAATAAAATCTAATTTGTGAAATATCGCTACGCAAGACATAATCTATTTAGTTGAATCGATCGCTAGAATACCACACATATACTTCCTGAAACACAATTCAGCATTATGATTGATTTTAATAGTGGCCGAAAGTCAAAATCAAGACTGATTTAAGGCTTAAACTTGACATATTTACTTAAAATTTTGTACTGTTACACATGAATCAAAATATCTATTTAACTTGTTACGAGTGTATTTGGACATTGACAGTTATGACGAACCGATCATTATCGAAACTATACAATCTACACGCGTATTAAATAGTCAAAGTCTTTAGTGCGAAAACAGGATAAATAAATAAAAATCTTATCTAGACGTAGGTATGTTGATTGAAAAATAATTAAGACATCGATCAAGTCATTTGGTTCTCTAAATTTCAGATTTAATTGATGGATAATAATAATGATGAGCATAACGTTAACGACGATGGCCAATAATCTATTAAATATGATAATTATGAATTATAAGCACGTGTTTCATCCCATGAAAATTTCATTGCTTATATGCATTAAAAAGGTTATTCTACAAATAGTCGGAAATACTAACATTACCTTTATTATTGTTTTATAAATTATTTTAATGAAAAATTGATTAATAAAGTTAGGTATAACATAATAATTAAATGAATTTACTGCTAATATTAAGCTAAAATTTTACCTCGTTACATAATAATTTGCCTTGCTCTTATAATGTTCATAATAATGTCTACAGTCCATCAATATGATGAAATGGAATAATTTTGAAAGGCTTAAAAATTACTATGTTTTAAATAAAATAGTCGTGTTAATTAATGCCTTTTTATCATTGATCTAAAAAAAAAAAAAAAAAAAAAAAAAAAAAAAAAAAACAATTTTATATAGGTATGACTGAATTCATTGCCCTGCGCATGTAAAACTTCTTATTAGACGTATAATAATTAATTTCAAATATTACTTTCTTGATTCTCTGGTTCATCTGTGTATGTTTTCACCGTTGAGTTCATAAAGCATAATAGAGGAAATACATATACAATGCGCACATCCAGTCGATTACTTTTATCTTGCTAATATATACATCAACTATTAGTAGAAAATTTTATATGCCACCATTAATTGATTAATAAATAATTAATAAACTAGACTGTATAATGCGACGTAGTTATTTTTTCATTCAGTCTAGAGGAATTATGTCCGTTATGTATTATATCGACAGCAAAATCAACATTCTTAAGTGAATTTATAAAATAAGATTTATTATTATAAAAATGAAATAATAATAAAATAAGCTCATAAATTGATTTTTTTTTTTTTTTTATTACGCTATTGCAATCGTGTGGGTTTGTACTTGAATAAGAAATAAGTTATTAATTTTATATATCATTAATTAATCTTTTGCATCTAACAAAAATAAATTGCTTTAAATTATTAAATATGAATTTGCTTGGTTAAATTTATTATTATTATTATTATTGTTGTTGTTGTCATTGTTATTATTATTATTATTATTATTATTATTATTATTATTATTATTATTATTGTTGAAACAATAAAAAATACGCTCTTGATAACCGTGATAAAAGAAAAATTTTTTTCATTTGAACAATTTTCATTATAATCCATAATAATTATTATTCACATTATTTATCATTACAACGTACAAACATATTATGAACAATAAAAATAAAAATATTAAATATTTATCATGTGATTCGTTATAATAGAATGAAAGATTTTTGTTTGTGTTTCCATATTGTTAGAAAATTCTTAATAGATGTTATATAAAAAAAAAAAAAAGAAAAGAAAAGAAAAAAAAAGAAGAGAAATATTTTTCTCAAGTTTATTTTATGCATAATGTAAATATTAATATTATCATGGTCATTGTTATTCTTCTTGGAATTTTTTGGATGTTTGTGAATAAATCGACGACAGTACGTAAATAATCGGAAATGCATATGCGATAGTAGACGGATTATTCTATTTCTCTCTCATGCGCCTCTTAGCCTGGAAAAGTCTCGTTGGTCCCTGTTTATTTGGCCTGTCGAACTTCAAAGGAAAAAAAAAAAAAAAAAAAAAAAAAAAAAAAAAAAAAATAAAAAGCTATGCAATAGGGTATGCGTGTATAGTAAATTATCTGATACAGATCGTAGTGCCTTTACTTTTCTCTCAAGTTAACGTATATTTTGTTCTTCCATTAAAAATAAATTATTTCCTATATATATATAATTCATATTCCGATGTTTACGATGTATTTACAGGCCCCGTTTCTCAAGAATTATATTCATAATAATTTTAATTTGTGTGCGAAACGCCTCTAATGTTTTCCTTTGTCATGTGCTTTCTTTGAATGTCACAAGGTCACGATCAATTTTAATTTAAAAAGTAAACATTTCATATAGCAACATAATGTTCGATATGACGTAACGGTTAATTTGTCCCCGAGCTGCTCCTCACTGATAACCTAATCCACAAAATGTTGCCCTCATAAATTATTTATCAGAATAATGTGGGAACGAATAAATCGATTATCCGTTCTAAATTAATTATCTATAGCAAGAAAAACATTGAGGCATACATGCGACAATGACATAACCTTCAAATCTCTCATTGTTTACGGCGTGTCTTGTCAATAACAGTATTTTCGACATAATTTTTGTGGCGGCTCAAAAACAGTGCTACTTATGTGAAAAGACAAAAATACTTGTCGAATACCTGAGCTGAATATCATCCGAGTCCAACTATGTATAATGTCGAATTTAGCGTGCGACGTAAATATGTTGTTATACGTAAATAAAAATACGTAGCTTTACATTGGTAGTAAATTTGTAGGTTAAGTCGGGCATTATGCGTGTGAATCTATATAAATTATTTAAAGAAAAAAAGAAAAAAATAATAATAATGTGATTAGGTTAAATAATCTATCGATTGTTTAGAAACAATGAAACAAGGATTAAAGTAAGGAGCTGCGGATATTGCTGATTTAGTATTTTCAACGGTCGGTAAGTCATGTTATCGGAAGATGGAGTTAATTGCAAATACAATTGCGGCCAGGATTATAAAGGCAAATGTGTTAGTTGCGAAAAGATTGCCAAGGAAGACGTACAAGAAACAGCGTATCAAGTGAATAACGAAAATGTGCGAAATGTCTCGGTGCTGTTGGTCTTACCGGACGGCAATCAAAGATTGATTACTTTCGAAGTGCCAATTGCACTTGACGAATACAATATCTTAGAAGCGGTAATTAGGCAAATTTATGATTATTGTTTGTTTGTTTTTTGTTTGTTTTTTGTTTTTGTTTTTGTTTTTGTTTTTGTTTTTGTTTTACGATCGTTCTTCTTTATATTGATATCAGTTTACGAGTTATTGCAAGATTTTTTACTCGGCCAATTCGCTATTACATTAAATTTTTACCTGAACGTACATTAAATGAAATACTTAACGATATTATGATATTTACTAGTGTAATATCCCATTATTAACCCACGAGCTCCTAAGACTTTCACTCTACACTCGAGTCTCGACATTATTCATTATTATTTGATGTTACATAGTGGAAATTGTAAATTGGGATGAGGTTAGGTGGCCAGTTGATAATAGAGCGACCAAGGGAAATAGCGCGAGAACGTAAACATTCCCATTTAAATTATGAAGATAAGACTTGAATAAGTCACGTAACATTTCCGATAATCATTTAAATGCTCAACGTAAAACAATAGGCTCACCAGACAATTTTTTTGCATTTAATTTACTATTTATTTCCAGTCTCCATTTATTAAGTATACGGATTTGTCAATTTTGTTGACATTGAAATTTATACACAATTTATTTACTCCTATATTGTAATAGATGTGTGCATCATTATCCTGAATTATGGTTTTAATTTTTCTACATGATTTTTATATCAATAATCCAATCTCTTATATATTATTTGAAGCGGATTATTATATATTTATTAGAAGCACTGTTAGAAAATTAAAATAGTTTTCTTTTAATAGATTATAAACTTTTCATGCCAATTTTATGTTTCATTCCTCATATAAATATTGTTATTAATTGTTATTAATGATAAAAGTTAAAATTCACATAAATATTCTAATAAACATGACTATTTAAATATTATTTCCATTATATTGTAAGTAAATATCAATAAATATGAACATAATTGATTTATCGATCAATTAATTTATATTTGATATGTAAATTTAATTTTTATAGTTTTTATTATTTAATTATATATGTAAAACAAACTTATCGTGTAAATAATTTCACGATTAATTAATTTGATTTGATGAACTTCACCACTATATCTCTTTTTCTATTCTAATTTTCCCACATTGTATAAAAAATATATGGAATGTACAGCTTCATAATTTTCATATTTATTTTTATAATATTCTGATATATTAGCACACTTAAATCTTAAGTGTAATTTATTTTATTTCTCATATATTTTAAATGGGATATTACGATTGTAACGAGTGAAAATTATTAGAGTTTTATATTAACGTTATACTCAGCTTTTTTATTCTTTGTCTTTTGTGATTCATTACTCTATTGTAAATTGATATAATTTAGAAAATAAATATATTTTTATTCATATTTTAATGGTTCATATTTAAAATAATACTTACAATGTATAAATGACATTTACTATTGTATGTTTACACAAAAGAATAATATAAAAATTTATTTTTATTTATCGGTCATCAAGATTTTTTTTATTAAAAAAATAATAATTGCTCAGAAAAATGTATTTATTACGAAATATCATAAGGGGGTTGTATTCTATGATTTTATTTATATTTTGGAAAATATTTTTGCAAATTATCTATAATTTAAGACATCTACAAAATAGGAGTAGATTAATGTTGATTTTAATTTTAAGGAGATTAATCTAAATGCTCAGTTTTCTAATTTCAGTATTTTATAGTTTATGCTGCTTGTACAATAATTAGTTTTGTATAATCTTGTCATTTTTGGTTTTGGGAATGTCTATATACAGTTTAAAATTGTTTAAAACAACACATACATATATAACTGATAGAGTATACATTACATTACATTTAAAACGCGTAAAATTTCACAAATTTTCTCATTAAATTTGAAATTTAAATAAAAAATTTTTACATCGTGAATATGTAGCAAATGTGTATAATATACGGTATTTTGTTATTAAAAATATAAAGTCTTCTTCATTTAATTGATTGTATATTCAAGAACATTGCATTACAATATAAAGTTTGCTTTGAACGTTTGCTTTGCATTTTAATCGAGCGATGAATTTCAGTTACTTTCATAATATCTGCTTAAGTAATGGATAATTGGAAATTTGTATGTTTTATATATAATTTTTTATAGTTATTTTAATGACAAAAATTTTATTATACAATAGGTAATTTTTTTTTTTTTTTTTTTTTTTTATAAAACATTTTTACCTCGGCTGTAAGTACTTTCCCATCGGGTAATTGGATTTAAAAATACGCTTTAATAAAGTACATTAATAAGTAAATCATCAGAATTCGGCATTATAGATTAAAAAACTATTTTATGTTTTAGAATGTAAATATTAAATTTTGATGGGTAGGATTAGATTTTAAACGCGAAATGTGAAATTCATATGCTAATCATCGCTGATTTTTGAAACTCCTCATTTTCAATCAAAATGAATGTTTATCTTAAATTCATAATAAATACATGACAAAGAAATTAAAATATTAATTAAATACTAAAAAGAACGAAATGTTTATAAGTAAATATTAAATCTTAACTTAATTAAGACTCTTAATTTGCATTTGTGACAGTGCAGGAGATTTTATATGGCAATGTTGTTACATATAATAATGATTAATTTAAAATTTTTTCATTAGGTAAAAACTCAGATAGATGAAACTAAAGATTGTCATCTGGATATGTACACAGTAATCGATGAAAATTACGATTTTGATTACATAGTTGAAAGTCGAACGAGTAATCGAAATAATGAATCCGATACAAATATAGTTATTAATGATAAGGGTTTAGTTAATGCCGATAGTTGTACAAGTGTAGTAAGTAATCATTCGAATAATTCGAAAACATTGTAAGTTTATTTGACTATTTTCAAAATCAAACATGCAAATAAATTGTCAGCAAAAAATTGAAATATTTATTTCCACAGATCAAATGTAAGTGATGGTTTGATCAATTCTTCACCAATCGCAGAACATAAATTTTCCGTATGTGTTGAATTCTTCTATTTTATTCATACGAGTAATAAAAAGAAACATTAGAGGATATAAAGTTACATGTAAAAATAAGTTTTCTTTCAAGGAATATTACAAATAAACTTTGATCAATGAAGTTTTCGGGAGAGAGCATAGTTAATAATTCGAGTTTGCAATCATTTTAAAGCAAATTACATACGATCAAATAAATAATGTTAATGTAACTATTAAATAATTAGTTGATGAAATATTTTTCAAATTTTTAAAATACTTTTTACATTAATATCACCGAATTATTATTAAGATATTTAATAGTTTCTATTATTAATTTATATTCTCTTTTGTTATATTTGTTATATTAGAGTTTTACTAATATTTATTCTGCCACTCACATGCATTTTATTGACATCTTTTCATTGCTTGATACTTAATATATTTAACAAATACAATAAATTTTACGTAGGATTGAAAAAGTATAATAGAATTTGTTTTTTTTTCTCTCTCGAAATAATAGATATCAATAAAAAAAATAATAATTTACTTCAGATCGCCAGTGTTTCTAAAATAGTTCATCCAGCGTAAATTAGCTAATTATGTATTATCTCATTAATATTTTATTACCTTGCAACTGTTCATTTGTTTCTCATGTGAAACATGAATTCTGAATTATAAATAAATGAAAAGAAAGACTTATTATATATATATATATATATATATATATATATAAATCATATAATTATTTAGTATTAAATATCTTCATTGTATGAAAAGTTAAAATGGATGTATGAGAATACTAATAACGTATAGTTCTTATATATTAACAAAAATTATCGATCTAAATATTGAAATCGACTAATGTATTAAAAAAGATAAAAAGCATTTCAAAATATTCAATAAAATGTTATTATTTGGTTAATATTACTAACATTTTAATATATGTATATCTATAATAGGAATATAATAGTATTTACAATTTATTAATCACCGTTGTAATTATATATATATATATATATATATAAATGATTAATGTTTACACAATAGATAGACATTATTTATTTTTTATTTGATTGTCTTATACGAGTCTTCAAAACGTTGTAATAAAAATGTTTTAATTTTTTAAGTGAGTAAAGCTTGATGAGAACAGAAGTTTTATTTTATAAATCAAATTCGTTAGTTCTAATGTTAAATGTTCTGGACAATTTTATACACAATTGTTTTATAACATCTTCGGGTGCAAACGATTTATTATTAATATAACTTATGAAAAAACAGAACAAAGTAAGAAAATATTCGCTGCCTTGTAGATAGTAAAATTTACATAGTATTCTAAACATTCATACATTATATTTCTATTGCTTTTTGTAGTATTTCGTTAATTATTATTTGAAAGTTTAGTTTGTAGGTCGACTATTTACGAAGTTTATAAAATAAAAATTAGAATTCTATTTATACTAAAATATATTATGTATTCTATCGTTCTTCGGTTTTTGTTTATTATTATTCGAATATTTAAAAAGATAAATGATCGATGCATTACAAATTATATGTTAAAATAAATATATAAACGTACGGTTAATTAAATACAATATAATTAAATAATTAAATCAATACGAATAGACGAGTAATGTAGACTACTTATATTCTTATATTATAATGTGTGAAAAATATGATTTTTTGCGATAAAAAGTAAGTAAAAATATAAATTGATATAGTAAATTAATTTTAATAATACAATTTTTTATTAAATACATTAAAGAATTAACTAATTATTTAAGAAATATGCAAGGTGAATGCCATATTATATATTAACTTAAATATTATTAATATTTTTAAGACATTTATTTGTAATTTTCCATATTACAATCGAATAGTTTTATTTTATTAATTTTATATATTCATGAATTTTTATGAATTTTCTGTAAATTACAATATATTATATTAATTTATCTTTCATTTAATCAAATATTATCTTATATGTCCATAAAAAAATAGCTTTTATTAATAATTAGAAATAATAAACGTGTTTATAATTACAATATTCTTTCATCATTATGTTTTATTATTATTTTATATATTAATATTCAATTTATAATTCGTAATTTCTAGTAATTAATAAATTATATTTTATTTTATTGCCTGAGATTCTTATTATATTTTATTATCGATTTTATTAATTTATTAGGAGGGGAGAAAAAAAAAAAAAAAAAAAAGATGTTATATGTTGAATATTTTCTAAATTGCCTGATTAATTTTTTTTTACCTATTTGATTATAAAATATGCTTAATATTTATTGCCGTAATTGAATGAAATAATCTAGACTTATTAATTATAATGTATTTAGTATATTTCCTGCTATGAATTTCATAAATACGAAATATTTAAAGCGCAGGATTTTATTTAATAGAATATCCATAGGCTCTTTATTATTAACGTTTTATACATAAATTACAATTTTCATCTATTTAGTCGTATATCTTCACATAAGTTTTCGTAAATTAAAAAGGCTACGTTAATTAATTTGCCAAATTTGCAATGACAACACATGGTTTCACAAAATTGAAAAAAAATGAGCATAAGAAAGAGAGAACCGACTTTCTTCAGTGAGTAAAGATCTGCAAATACTTACCAATGTGCCATTTGTTATAGGAGGTATAAAAAAAAATTTCACATGTGGTTAATGTGTCCCATGCACAATAATTAATTATGGAATGCTTCATGTTCACTCTTCTATCTAAGATATCAAAGAATAAAAATATTTTATAAATTTTTTATCTTGTTTTTTTTTTTTCGTTTTTTTTTTTCATTTTTTGTTCATAAAAAATTAATTGTAGTGTAATGTAATGGCAATAATATCAATTGGAACATTTTTTTTTTTTTCTACTATTATTGATATATTTATAACTTGCTATTTCAATATTATGATCAAACATTATTACGTTCTAATTTTTTATAATAAAAATATATTGCCAGTTATTGTCGTAGATCATCAGGTATCATAGACATTCGTTATTTTCTAATTGCATTTTTTCTTCTATCATTTACATATTATCATTTGCTTGCTTGTTAATTGAATCTGTGTAATTTGAAATTTTTTTCATTCATTGCGTTTACCTAAGAAGAGAAGATTATACATTCTCTTATTTTAATAAAATAATTTTAATATATACTAAAGGTCATAAATTTGTCACACATTGATACTTCAAGTTTGTTAATGCTAGTTATGATATATTATGCGACGCATTAACTTGATTATATTTTTAATTATTTAAGCTAATTGAATGTTATGGAACCTGCAGTAGTGTGCAAATGGAGGGTAGTTTGAAATTCGTTTAAAAGGTTTATCGAAATATTTATATAACTTAGGAGATTTTCATCAAGTAAAATGAAACGAATTCGCATTGAAATTATAGGAAAATGCAAGAATCGAAATGGAAAATTATGAATAACTTTATGGATTTATTTCGAAATGCATAATATAATATTTATCTAAAACTATCACTTTTTCGCCATACCCTATAGTATATTAATAACATTCACGAGCTTAATATTAGTTTTTTTTTTTTTTAACGATATTAATAGCAATTTTAGCTAATACTTACGAAATAACTAATACGCTGATTGTTATATGATTTTTTTTTATTATTATTATTATTCATATTGATAATTGCAATTAGTGCTTTATAGGTTACCAAGTATTCGAATGAAATTAGTTCAGATGCGTCCATTTGCGGAAGCGAACTCGAACGAATAGATATTAAAATAAATGTCGGCAATGGAATAAAGGTGCAAGTAGGAATTGAAAGTAAAGAAGAAAAATCCATCGATATGGAGAGAACATGCGTTGACGAAATAACAATGGAAGAAACTTGCAGTCAAGAAATCAATGTTCTAGTAAGAACGGACACGGATGGGACTGAAACAACAACTAAAACATTGACCACTGAAAGTTCTGACACTTCAAATTCCACATTGTACGTGCTAATGATTATTTATAGATTGTGCAAATATTTTTTTATCATTCCATTGTTTTTTTTTTCATTTTCTATTGCTTTCATTACGTTATTTTCATAATTTTTAGAAATATTGAAGAAATCACTGAAATTAAAAAAGTAATAAATTTAGAAGATAGTCCGCTGGTATGTTAATAATTTTATCTTAAAAATCTACTAATTAATTGTGCATAAACAGGTCGCCCAAAATTTGGCAATTGCATTCTGATACTTTTATAACATTATTATGCGATTATTAATTAAATTATTTATTTAATATTTTTCATATACGGATTGAAACTTTGTAAATTTACTTCCATTTATCAATTTTGATTTTAGATTAAATTAAAAAAAAAAAAAAAATATAATAATAATAATAATAATAATAATAATAATAATAAACAATGAAAATCAATTTATATCAGAATAAAATCGAATTACTTTAAAAAGTTTTTCTACTGCTTATGCACGATTTACTGTGAGACAGTAAAAATTTTTTTCAATAAACATATTGAATGTTAAAAGTAGGTATGATAAGCTTTCTATGATTCTTCCTTTACTTCCAAACAATATTTAAAAAAAATGAACTTTATTTTTGAAAAATGACATTTTATATTTAAATAATTTGCTAAATTATTATGAATTTTTTCTAGTCAGATAAGAATACATCACGTGAAGAACATTCCGAATCATCAAAAATTAACATGTACGTTAACAATTTTGTTTTCATCATTAGAAAATGGTATTAAATCTCAAACATTACTTTTTTTTTTTTTTTTTTTTTTTTTTTTTTTTTTTGTTTTGTTTTGCTACCTTTTAAAAATTACTCAAAAATTAGGATTATCATTAATGTTTCTCTTAAAATTGCTCTTAAATCTTAATCAACATTCTGGGTATCAATTGCTATTAATTACTAAAAATAAAAAATATGTTGGATGCCGTTATTGCGAGTATTGCTTTAATAATTAAAAAATATTATTTGTCAACTATTTGATAGACCGTCTTTATTTCTTACCTTAAATCAATGATTAAATACTTTATTCTTTTGCTCCAAATAATAAAATTTGACAATACATTCAATCGTGCTCTTGTGATATTTCATCTTTCAATATCGTGTATTAACATTAATAAATAATATTAAAAATTACGTACGATATTTTAATTTAATATATGTTTTAACTTTCATGCTAATATCCATATAAAATGGAATAGGTTAATCATTGTTAATTAAGTTTAGCATTCTATTCTTTGTCCTTGTCGCACTTTTAATGTATGCTACCGTTATATATATATATATGATAAAAGCTATGTTGGATTTTTGAGGGTCGCGATTCATAGACTGAACAATATTGGTAAACAATGCGCTACTATTGTTGAATTATTTATCGTTATTAGTCATTTAATCATAGGTATAGGAGTGATCTTACATTCCATTGATCTAATCGTCGCTTAACACATATGACAATTTAAAACAACTATTTTCTCTTCTATCGCTACAATACCAACAAAACCAACAAAACCAAAAAAAAAAAAAAAAAATAAAAAAAAAATAATAATAATAAACGGATTACGCAATCACGCATAAATATTATTACATGTACTTGTTTTATTCGAGCATAAGATAAGATTATTAATTGTATAATAATGGAACATGCGACTGTATAAAATGAAACTTATCAAGACAATTGTTTGTAAATTATACTAAATGTGTAAATGTTGAGCCTTAAATTGATTATATATATATATATATATATATATATATGTATTAATTTGTCGAGTTAATATTCTATTATTTTTATTAAGTGTCGAGAATATTTTACGGCTTTGAAGGAGCAATATTTAACACTTTAAAATCCATGTGAAATATCCAAAGTATTTAAAATTAGAATTATATATGTGTAAGATGTCGATAATCCTTTAATATTGTATAAGTAAGCTGTAAATAAATGATATCTTAAAATTTTAACAATATTTTTCGTTTAGATAAAAATAAGTGTAAAAATTCGACAGATTAAAAGGCGATTAAATATATCATATCAGATATGACATTGAGCTTTGGTGGGAAAAAGCTTCTTCTTCCAAGTATCCTTTCTCCTATTGAGATTTAATACCATCTGGAATTATCGACCCGGTACAGCTTAAGCAGTAGTTGTAATAACATATTTGTCTTGTTCTCGCGCGCACCCAGACTGATTATATATCCAACATCGCCAGCTAAAGGAGGCATAGCCATTAATACGGAGGACTTGAAGTGCCTCGGGGCGAACGAGTTCCTTAACGACTCCGTCATAGATTTTTATTTGAAGTATTTGATGCACGAGGTGCTGTCTGAACACGACAGACGCAGAACTTACGTCTTCAGCTCGCATTTTTATACACGACTGGCGAAGCCCTATTCCTCGACCAGTAGTAGTAATGTCGAGGGCGTGTCTATGTGCCGACAGAGATACGCCGGAGTACAGAGATGGACCAAGAATATTAATATCTTCGAGAAGGACTTTGTCGTTGTGCCGATTAATGAGCAGTAAGTGTGCCGATAGTTAGGGCTAATCTTTCCTTTAATCTTTTAAGTCATTTCAGTCATTTAAGCATTGCTAATTCGCGGTGTGACTTTGTTTATTATGTGGAATAAGATGATGATATCATTTATAGATATTAGAATATAAATTTATAAAACGAAAGACATTTGTCAACATATTTTAACAGTTGCATAATAAATTCACATTCGATATGTTACATTGGATTAATTAGAGTGTATTGTTTATATATACATGTTTTTTTTTTTTTTTTTACGACCAACGACATTTCCCGCGTATTTGAGAGTACTTTTTTTAGTCACGCACGAGAAGAGAATTAATTTAATAAACATTTTAGCGCACATTGGTTTGTAGCCATTATTTGTTTTCCTCGTATGGTGGTTAATACTCTACAGTTGCACAATGAAGATTCTCACAATGAAGAAATAAAGAAGTGAGTGTAATTTAAGTTAAGCTTATTATTATAATTTAGTAGTAAAAGCATTGTAGTTATGTTCTCAAAGTTATCAATGTTCCATAATTAACGTTCAATAAGAATTTCTATTAGAAAAATCATTATGCGTCAAATCCGGTATGTGAATTATAAAAATTTTTTTCACTTTCAACGTTAATTAAAAATTCACAAAATGATTTTATCGATGACGTAATTGCTTAAAAAGTATTACAACTAGTGCTTAACTACTTTTTAATAAAATAATATCATTGGTAAAAATTTGTAAAAATATCATAATAAAAATATCATCAAGTAAAGATTTGATATAAAATGATATATCAATAATTATAGAATTGCATTGGAAAATTCTAACGCTTTTCCAATTATGCATTTCTTCGCAGACCTTGCATTTTAATTTTCGACTCGCTTTATGGAACTCGTACGAGCCAAGTAGCCAAGATATTAAAAGGTTACTTGTATTACGAATATATATCTAAAATGCGGAAATGCAAAAGTTTCTCGAAAATTTTTTTGCCAACTGCATATCCTATCGTACCAAAGCAATCAAATGTCACGGACTGTGGCTTATTTTTATTACAATACGTCGAAACATTTTTTAAGGTGATTAACATGAGTAATTATTACTTGATATTCACGTATTGTGCATTGACGAATGTAGTTTATGAGATGTTGAATTTAATTTTAGGATCCTATAAGGAATTTTACTTTACCATTGAGGGATCTGAAAGATTGGTTCGATCCCATTGTGATTCGCCGTAAGCGAAAGGAAATCGTCATTTTGATTGGCCGATTGGCTAAGGATTTTCATAAAGATGAAAATTTTGAATTGCCAGATATTGTTGTTGATGATCACAAAGTAGCGAAATCTACATTTAACGACGACAATAAATATACATTGAGCAGTAAAACTCTCTATAAGCTGAAAAATATTAAGTCACAGCCTAAGAATATTAATGTAAAATCATTTTATAATCTTAACATCAATCATTCGTCATCTGAGAAGATTGAAAAGCCTATATCTATGATTAAATCAAATCGGTTGCTCGTAGAAGATCGTGAAAACTCATCTTACGCAGACAAAAAGAATAATTCATTATTGTTTTCGCATCCTGCGGGTATGATGTCGCCGCCATCCGAAAAGGTGCTAAACTTAATAAAGTCGAGCGTAAAGCAAAATAAAAAAAGTTCTATAAAAGATTGGCTGAACTCTAATAAATTTGAAAAGACAGGCACATCTTCATCTAATTCATTTTCTTCCTTATCTTTCGAAGCGTTAAAAAATGTAAGTAGTATGACTTTGAAAATAATTACACGTGGTACGAAGCAACTGCTATTGAAATATAATCGTAATCATAATAAAAGTTAGTTTCATTTTACAATTTACATCAATTAATATACGATACATGTACAATTCAAACAGTAATTATATAAATATTCATTTTATTAAAAAAAAATCTACTTATATATATATATATATATATATATATATATTGCACATTTTAGACGATCAATATGTCACAATGAAATTTTATCTCTGCTAGTCGTTGATATTACGAAATTATAATCAAATTACATTAATAATAAATATTTTATCATCATTCAAATGTTCATTATTTAAATATAAATAATTACATTACTTTATTACAGGATATTAAAATATCTCCACGTACATCGTATTCCGATTTTTTGAAAGCTAAAAGAAAGTTTCAAGAAGCGGAAAAGAGAAATTATGATTCTTCTGATTAATTTTATAATTTAATACTTAGAATAATATTGAAATAAACGATGAATTCTATTTTACTTATATAATGTTGTTTTTATTATCCAGCCTTTAAATAATTCAGCACACACAAGTTTTCGGGTTCACCAAATTATCCATTTATAATGTTCCGTGTAATGATGAAAATTGTGAAACATATTTTAATTTTTGTTAAATTTATCAGAATAAAAGACATATTTAACGTAATAGTCAGAAAAATAAATCCAGCCATCGTCTATGAGATTGTATATACAAATAGTTTATAAATTTTTACACTATTGCTGAGATTTTATTGCTTAAACAGTTTTTGCATATGTATGTGCTATGTATACTTTGTATCATTTAACGAATAACAAATTTTATTTACTCTTTGTGTATCAATAATTTAATAAAATTGATGATTTGCTAATAAAAAATTCTATAAACATACTTGGTTGCTCTATGAATTCGATACTTTTAACTTTAATACTTTAACTGTGCCAGTTCGTAACAATTCCAATTTCAAATTAAGGTTCAATTTACAATGTTATAAAAAATATTTTTATTCCGTTATTTTATTTATAATTGGCTTATACAAATTATTAATTTTAATATAAAACTGTTGCTCTACTTTTTTATATTAATACATCAAGACAATATTATTATACTTACTTTTATTCTTTATACTCGTATTACAATTTACAGTTTGCTCCTTTGACAAAAATTTAATGCAAACTGCGCAATTCAATATGATTGTTGTTGTTGAAATCGGCGATATCGATGCATTGGTCTTAACTAAATTTCTGTCCCTTATTGAATGAATGTCGATGCGAATTATGGAATAATAGAAATCGTAATTTTGACGAGGATAGATTGAAAGTGATAATAATAATATTGTACAAGGATATCAAAGGACATACATTAAGATTGCTCGTTAATTATGAAATAATTGCTATTTGTTAATTTATTAATATTCGTTTTCAGTTTGCTATTTAGTGAGTGCGTCGAGTCTCAATTGTACTGGTGGTTGGAACGATTGCTGCGACATAAGTGGCAAACATTTTTTTCTCGTTTCCAAACTTCCGCTTTGACATTAATATTATATTTGCTATAATTCACTTTGTTTCTATTAGAGAAATACAAAATGTCATTTTCATTACGTCAATGAGAATTTTGAGGGCAGAGACTTTTTATCACTCAGCATTCACAATAAATGGAAAATCGATCATTGCTACGTCTTGTCTTTTATAATCCTTTCATCTTGCACATCGATCATTTATTCATTGGTCGTTGTAATTTAATTTTGTTCTATTTTTATCTTCAATAGTGTTTACTTTAAATATAACTGCGAGATTCGATTGATTAAGAAGCATATTATCGAAATATTATTTATCCGCAAAATACGCAATTTACTTTATATATAATTCGTTTGCTCAATTTCATTTGCCTCGTATCGTACACAATTAATGGACATTCTAAGATTATTATACAAAAGTAAGATTTTTATTGGGAAAACTTGTAAAATAATGATTGTATATTAATGATTGTAAGAAATGGGCCAGATTAGAAGAAAAGTGAATATTTCAATATTTCTTTGATAATTTTGTTTAGAAATTTACGACAAAAGTAGTTGTTTGTAAATATTAATAATAACTTGTATTAATTTCCTTATTCTAAAATCGTTTTTATATAATTTATGATATACGTAAGTTATTGGGTAGAATTATATTAGTAAATTTATAACTCGTACGATGATATATCGAAATAAAAACGAATGATGTTATATATATATATATATATATGAGAATATTGAATTATATCGAAGAACGAAGTTATTTTATCAATACAGAAATGTATATCGATGTAGTTGTAATGTCTAATGATATAGATGTAATGTAATGTATATTGATATATATATATTTCGTGGAATTAGAATATTTACAATTCATTTTGTTTTACCTTATATTCAAGCGTTGATCATTTCCAACTTATTTGGAAAAAAATTATAAATTCAAATTTTGTGAAAACAAGAATTTGTATGTACAGGAGTTTAGAAAATATTCCAAAATTACGTTCGTAAATTATTTTCAATACGAGTTATTGTTATATTATAATGTGTATTTGAAGTTATGATTTTTTTTTTCACGAAAGCATATACTCCCAGATTATTTGCTAATAATTATTTTGTAAACGAAAAGTAGCTAAATATTTATTAACTTATGTTTAAAAATTAATGATTTTAGTATATCGATAATCAGTCACCCATTAATTAGAAACAATACTGCATATAGACTGCATTTAACTGTATTTGTCGACTTTTGAATGCACGTTAATTTTTGAGCTTTTGACGATATAATTTTCAAAATGCAGTGAAGTTGTCCTCGTCGTTCGAAGCCATTAATTCTTCACGATCGATATTCATCGACTTGGCTAATTTTAAATTTTAACATAATTCAGAATTTAAAATATTACTATAAAAGCTATTTCTTCAAGGAATAAAGAATAAGAGAAAATCGAGATTTTCAGCAAATGACATTAAGCTTATGCCTACGATATTATATATTACATTAATATTCGTTACGATTTATGTTATATTATGTTATTTATTATAAAGATTATATTAATTCAAACATCAGTCCATCCATACTTTGTTTCATAACAAACCAAACGCTATTATTATTATAAAGGATATATCTCTCATGTATCTTTCAAGATAAATTAATCTGCGTAGAATTTAATTATTGATGTCTATTTATAATCACTTATATTTTCAAAGCTTTTGTCAAAGTGTCAAAAAAATAGTATTTATATGTAATTAATTTCAGATTGACATCAGTGATTCTTGAAGAACAAAATTTATTGAGACGTATATTGCAAAATTTACTAATTAATAGTTTATTTATTAATTCGGAAAGGACCGAAATATTATTGGATATCGCTTGGCCAATAGAATTAAAGTAAATCGATGGTAATTGTTGACTGGATGAACGTGCTAACGCACTCATGCCTTGTTAAAATATAAAAATTATCATATTTCATATAGTATCCGATATCATCAATGTTGATTGATGAACATCTATTTTATTTTTATTATATTTCTGATTTTACATGAATATAGCTTGAAATAATGGAGATTAAAAGTGTAAATATTTTTATTGAAATTCATGCTTTATAATAAATACGTATATTATGTATTATTTATCAATTTATCTAGGCTTTATTGTAATATTTTGAAGTTGTCGATGATTTTAATAAATGTTGTTTAATTCTGTATGATATTGTATTATTTAATTATTTCTATAATCTTCGTTGTTTTATCTTATCTAAAATACTACACTTATCAAAGCTTTAAAATTATAATAATAATAATCACCGACATTTTTTAAAAGTTCATTTTAACCATACTGACATACATTCTAAAAACACACCCGAAAAGAAAATCATAGATTCTACTGTAAGTTTTAAAATGATTAAACAATATGTTAAGTTTTTTTTAAGTACGTCCGCGCTGTCGCTATATTATGGATATCGCATAAGATGTCAATGGTATTCGACGGAATTAAAAATGTTTATAAACGAAGCTTAATACAAAATCGTATACATAAGCAACATGGATTTGAGAATTTCGTGAATTATAATCGATGTTGCAGAATAGATTAGATATCGTCGAATTGATAATACACGATTGTTAGCGATATTATGACTGAGAAATTTATTGGGCAGGCTGAATTATGGGATACATAATGTTTAAAAATTCATTGCTATAAATTATAATTAATAAATATTGTGGAAAACAAACCTATAATAATAGCCCGGGTAAAAGGGAAAAAATTCGTAAAATTGATTTTAAATCATTATTATTCCAAAGAAACAAACAAAAATGAAAAGAAAAAGAAAAGAAAAGGAAATTGTTCATTGGCCTTTACAAATATACTACTATAATACAACGTTTGTTTTAAATAAATAAATTGACATTGCAGAAGTCATTATTGGACTCGATGACCAAAGTACCTCGCGAATGAATGCAATTGTTCGTTATGGGGGAAGGTGAGGTGAAGCATAATGGACATAGGTGTTTAGTGACTGTGGGTCGATTGGCGTGGTGATGGAGTTTGGGGGAGGGGGGTGGGTGTCACATCGCCTCTTGGAAATGGGGAAAGAGGGGCTGCTGTTTTATCATTTATTCGCGTTGGCTGCTTAGGGAGGCCGAGCGCGGCTTGACAAATGTTTTATAAATAAATGGCACCTTAATCGAGTCGGCGCATCCGTAGCGCAACGGCTCAAACAAAAGGAAGGCGCCCGCCGTCTTTCGGGGCCTGGCGGCGAAAAATCTTGCGAGGGCGTCACTGTTGTGGTGGGGTAGAAAGCGATTAGGTATCGTTTTTCATCCTCTTTGAGCCGGCGACTCTTAAATATAAAAGTTTACGCATCTGATGTCTATTCGCGTCGGGTCGGGCGCGAGGCAGTTAATATCGCGGCGACTATTTCGCCGCCTCCTTCCTTTCCCTTTGTCCTCGCTCCCTCTCTCACTCTCTGTCCCACTCTGTCCCTCCCGTCGCCTGAGAGCGAAAAAGAAAAGAAGCGTGGCAATGACGCGGCCAATTTGTAGCCGAGTGTCACAGCTTCTCGGGAGGATGACGTTGGGAGGGTGAAGAGTGAGCGCGCGCGCGCGCGCAACCCAAGCTATTTCTATTTTTGTTGGAGGTGGTGGTGCCTGGCGCCGCGAAATGTCCTACGACCTTTCCCTCTCCCCCTCCCTTCGTTGCCCCAACCGGCAAGGGCCCCGCGCGCGCGCTTTACCCATGTAAAATATGAAATGAAAAAGCAAAGTTATTGGCTTTTTATGCGACTTTGTGAAAACAATATTTTTCGCTTCTTTGCTTATAAATGTAAGAGTGCAGCGAGAATTTAGAGAGCTAATATGGCGAGGGGCGGCGCCGCGTATTTCGGTTAACCATACAATTTACATGTGCGTTCTACGTGCTCACGCCTATCTTTAAATTTAGGGTGATCAAAGCGACACTTTGTAAAATCATTTTACGAGCAATGGGTCGCTTAATATTATGTAAAGTTGAAGAGCCGCCGTCGCACGATTAAAGAAGCAATTCTTACTTTCGGCACTATGATTTCAAAATACACAATGTTTCGCGATGTTATTACCTGTCGGAATGAAATGTTAAAGGGATTATTAGTTGAGAGGCGTCGTTTAAATTAACAATCATAGCCACTGTCGTAGTGTACTACGAATTACAGATGCGTTGCGACTCGTTACATTGCGACTGGGTAATTTCACGCGTTAATTAATGTCGTTCGGCAAATACATTTGTAAAAAATATGGAATCGTCATTCATTATGAAGTGCCGTTTCGTCAATGCGAATACCCTCGCACAATACAAGCAGCCAAGGATCATGAAGTTTATGCCTCTGTCGAGATTGTATAAATTTCGATTTTATTATTGATTACGATGATATTTCTACAATTTATCGTTTTATCGTTGAACTTACGTTTCTTTATTCTCTCTCTCTCTCTCTCTCTCTCTCTCTCTCTCTCATTTTTTTCGTATTTTTTTTTTATGTGGTTATCGGTGCACGTGTACGGGCACGGATTATCGCAAAATTCTTTCTCAGCACGCTGTATTACCAAAAATTTGTTAAAATAGCATTATTTATGTATGCATTTTATTTTGTTTAAACACGTAATAGTGCCCTAGAAATAATATAAATAAAACGAACAACGCGTATTATTTATTTTACGTTTAAATAATGTCATTATCAGAATAAAATTATTTTGAAATATATTGATGATAAAAAGATTTATCTTTCGCATATATATATACATATATATATATATATATATATATATATATATATATATATATATAATTGACACGTGAATACATAAAATGACGGTCTTTCGTTAAAACAATAAACCATTACAAATTAAAAAATTTCATAATTCAGAATGTTAAGATGTGATCGATATAAGCTAACGAATGCACTTGGATATCACATTATTATTAAGTTGCGTTCGAATTAAGAATTTTACATAATGGTCTTTAAAGTTTTGAGGGGGCTGGGGTGGGGACATCATAAACTGAACCAAACATCGTCGGCTACGTCTTTTTATACATCGCCGTAATTTAATTATAAATTGTAAAATATAAAATAAATAATGGCGGCTTTTCAATTGAATATTATTTACGATATTATCAAGTGGCTCGACGTACGTACGCAGCCTTCAAAAAATTAATTGTTAAAGTATAATCCTTATTATATTAGGAGATGCTATGAAGCGTTCGAATTTAGGTCAAGTATGAAGTGTGAATAACAAGTATTTTATCGAAGCCGAATACATAAAGTTATTGATTAATCGTGATATTTTAATGGTCATAGCCCTAAAATAGTAAGTAGTAGTAAAATGTAACAAACATCCGATCAATTATTAACGAAGCTAGGAATTATACATGTGTAATAATAAGCCATTAAAAATAAATTATCATTTATATTGTTAAGAAGTGACATTATTTTCGTATTGCCGAATAAAAATAACGCTCGCGTAAACGTAAACGTAACCTCGGCGATTATGACATTAACGAGACAATAACGTATCATCCGATCAAATAGCATGGGCAACCGTCAGCAAATCATCAACCTCGTGAAAGACTCGACTTTTACCTAAGTTTTCTCATAAAGATTTTTCCCCAATTAAACAAGCTCCGCGCTTTTTCCATTCGCGGCCCACGTCCTCCGAGCTCCGCGAGCCTCGGGGACACACGTACACAGGCACTCTGCTCCAACGATGCTGCGACAAACGCAGGACTCTCTGGTTACGAGATCCCATCTAATTCTCGATCCGCGTGCATCGTAAACGCCAATCTCGACGGCCGACGGGACCGCAAGCCCAAGCTCACGCTCAGCTGGCGAGCTTTTACTCGTGGCAGCGGCCCCGCCGCGCGTGACCCAATTCGCCCGGGGCGTAGTTGAATTCCGAGAGCGAGAAGAGCGGATAGTGGTAACTGCTGGAGGAACGGCGCCTTCGCGTTGCTGTCGCGCCACAGTAAATGGGGCGCGCGTGTCGAAAGCTCGAGGGACGAAAGCCCGGGACGATGGAACGAGAGGCGGTGCGACGGCTCGACTAGGTCCTACGAAGCGCCGAGGCGCGCTCGCGTATTTTGCCGTTCGTCACGTAGTCGCTCGTGCCGAATGTCCGTTTTTCCCGGCGTAGGCCACACGTCGCCAAGTCCACCCAGCCCCCTAGCCCCCTCCCGCCCCCTTCCCATCCGCCCTTCCCTCATTACGTTCTAATTTGAACCCGCGGCCGATAATAATTCGCCAGATGCGGGCGGCGCCCGACCCCCACCCCTCGCTACTTTGGACTCGCTCGCCACTCCTGCGCTCCTTTCTTCCCGCCTCCCTCGCCTTCTTGCAATCGTTCAACTCGGGATTTGGAAATTAATATCCGTACGGCTAGCGTTTAAGTGCAAGCGCGGCCAATCGCACTTGGCTGATCCTCGAGAACGGTCCCCCGCGAGCGGCACACTCCGTCATCACGATTCTCCGAGTCATTGGATCGCTAAGAGTAAACGGTGGCGCGCTCAAGGCATTATAATATTCGCGGAGGAGTCGAGTGCTTTGGAAACTCGCGAGATTGGACTTATGGCAAATGCCAACGAGAATTTAGAGAGAGAGAGAGAGAGAGAGAGAGAGAGAGAGAGAGAGAGATACGGGGGGATGTAGTATGTAGCGCGCGTGGATTTTTAAATGAATATCCTGCAAGGTAAGCCGCCTTTTGTGCTGGCGCTGCGTTGATAATAATTCTCGAGCACTTTCTTCGCTGTAATAGTTGGACATAACATGACGACATGCAAATTTTATAATCGTGATGGTTATGCGTGGAGCTTAGGGTATAATAATTATGAAGAAACGTGCATTAAATATTAAATTGTGTGGAAATTCGGGAAATAATATGTCGTGCAGTGCACGTATTCAGTGAAGCACTTTTCCGAATTTTATCAAAATCAATCTTTTGTTATCAAATCATCAATATATATATATATATATATATATATATGATTTTTTGCGAACTTTTTTACCAATTCTTTGAAAATGCAACTTTAAAGCACTTTCACGTCAGCGTCACATAATATTCTGGCACGTGGGGCAAGAATAAAATTACTAAACATATAGAAATTGTATCGAGACATATATATATAATAAAACAAAATAAATATACATTAAGAATTTTATTAAAATAACGATAGAAATATAATTTATAAAAATCACGATTTCAATATTTACTTAATTCAATGTAGATGGATATACGCTTTGTGCGTAAAATTTCAACTACTCATTGGAAAATATTATCTCCCTTTTCATAACATTACTTCTTAACAATATTCTATAATGCTTATAATTAATATATAATTTTCTAAAAAGATACACAAAATAATAAAGGATATTGTGCAGGATAGCGTTTTGTCCGTGGAATGAAAAATTACAAAATCTGCAATAATTTCTTTTTATGACGAAAAGCACGAGAGAGATCTATCACTCCAGCTTTCATTTATTATAATATATAACCATTATATTTAATTATTTAAAGTAATAATAATAATAATAATAATAATAATAATAATAATAATAATAATTAAAATTTCTATCGTGCACGCCGTGTGACACCTGCGTGGAACATTCTTAAAAAAAGGTTTTCATTAGGATGTGAACTTAGAGCGAGGAGAGAGAGGGCGATGCGATTTTTTTTCTCAAGAAAAGCCGCATAACCGTCCTCCTCTAACGGTCAAAATCATTTTTCATTATCCTCTCATCCCTCGATATGTTAATTTACAATTTCATTCACGCAATGTAATACTCTAATGATTTTCACACGAGGGTGAGGGATATGGATATAGATATAGCGAAAAGAGTGTGTGTGCGCGTGCGTGCGTGTGTGTGTGTGTGTGTGTGTGTGTGTGTGAGAAGTAGAGGAGAAGATCAGGAGAAAGAGTGAGAAAAATTTGCTGTAATTTTACATTTATCCTTGACTTGTCTTCATTTTCCACTCGAATAATGATTGCGGTATAAGTAAATACACTGCCATCATATATGTCGGGTAGGTGCACTTTTTTTCATGTTTATTTCATTTTCATTTATCTTGTTTTGGTGTGACTCCTCCTCATCAATCATCCAGAATTTCGTCCGAGCTTACGTCCTGAAACAAGATGAAATAACGGTTTTATTGTTATTTGTGAAATATATATGGAGTTTACGAAAACTTAACTTAGTATATTATCAATGTGTTGTACAAGCAAGTCGTTGTTGAACAATCAAGTTCGCCTTACTTTCAAAATATTTTTATGGTACCAACAAAAAGAAGAAAGAGAAAGAGTAAGAGAGAGAGAGAGAGAGAGAGAGAGAGAGAGAGAGAGCGAAGGAAGAAATAGCTATAAATGCGTAATTTGAATATCAAACTTTAAAAGTAAAGAATATTATAGCAACGCTAATTTATTACTTTTTCACATTAATCGTGTACGCGTTGAAATATCTGGTAAATAATATTGGAAAGTCATTTTTTTTTTTTTTTACACAGCTTAAGGTACGGATATTCTTTTGATGTAAAAATTAAATTTCATGGATATTACATTTTATTATATAATACTTTGATAAGCATTTTTACAAAGGTATTTTTAATCGAATTTTCAGCGTATATTACATGTTTTCATGTGTCAAAGTTATTACATATCAGAATATAAAATTTAGCAATTTGTTTATTTGCATACAATCAATCAATATGCCTGCCATAAGTTAATCCTTTTTTCTTTTTCTTTTTCTTTTTTGTTTCATTCTTTTTTATCTATTTAGAATTAAATAAAAAATATATAATGACTCGAAATTAATAGATGTTTTCAAAAATATAACTAGTATTTATGAATAATATTTAAAAGAGCTGCTGACAGTGACATTTATTTTTCTTACTTTTATTTACAATTAAGTTACGTAGTATTTCGCTCGAATCAATTACGTTAGATGAAAGAATAAGAAAAGAAAAATACATCAGTTTTTTTGTTTTTGTTTGTTTTGTTTCTTTTTCTTTCTTTCTTTCTTTCTTTTTTTTTTTTTCTTTCTTTTTTTTAATGGAGCGAAAAGCGTATTTGCAACTATAAAAGCAAAGTTACAATGTCAATACAAAGCCCGTACTTGCCAAATAATTTATAGTATGTTTTGTCAAACTTTAAAGACGGATTATTGGTTTCTCTAAAATTACAAACTATAAAAAGCATACTGCGCTTTGCAACAATGATGTAAGACAAAGTAGGGGGGAAAAAAAATTAATTAGTCGGCTAAATTGCATCTATGAGAGAGTGAAGAACGTTAAAGATATGAAAGCGATTTGGTGTAAATTGCTCGTAAGCTATTTAAATAATAGTTAGCGATAATTATAATTAGGGTTTTTAGAAATTTTCAGGCAAAGATATAAAAATTTTGATGTATCAGGAGTAGAGGCGGAAAAGCAGGTAGATTCGAGCATCCGTGAAAGTGTCTTTTTGCAGCATTGCTTTTCGCTCTTTATTTTTTTCGCCCATGTTTATTTCGCATTAGTCAAGCTATATTTTGTTTGCAGAGTTGTTTCCATAACAATACAATCCGGGCAGACTTTTCGAAATCCGTCATCTCGGGGTCTTTTCGCCAACTCTCGTTACTCTATTTTTCACACGACGTTTCCGCTTTATCTCGCTGTCATACATCTTAATAAAACAGAAATTGATCTTGCAAACAACGTGGCGATGAAAGATTATTATTTTTCATTTTGATATCCGATTACTGAAAAATTCACGGCTAATTTATGAATTTCGTATGTAATTTTGTTAACAAGCCGATAGATAGTGCCATTACCATTGTAATTCTTAACGCGTTTAATATTAATGCCAACGGTGGTAATTATATATATTTTTGTTTGTCAAATATTGTTTGTTCGAAAAGCCAATGTTTTTATTATAAGATGATTTAAAGTTAAAATCGCGTTATTCCTGGTAATACAATTACCAACGTATACACTTCGACATCGTTATGAGGAATGGGGGAAAAAAAAAAGAAGACTTTATCGCATTCTATATTAAATAAATATTATTATTCATTTAGTAATTTTAAATATATCTTACTCTTTACTAATTATATACTAAATTTGATTGCATTTACTATTTTTAAGAGTTGTAAATTTAAAATCATTAATAACGATCAACCAAGATAATGGTTATTCTTTTGAATTTGATGAAAATTCTTAAAAAACATTTTTAATATGATATTATTACATTTCTTATGTATCGAGTTAATTAATTAACTCTGTTCAAGTAAATATGTGAAAAGACATAGTATATATAGTATTATAATTATTACTAGTTGGTAATTGAATGTTGAAGAGTGTATTTCGAAACAAGTTAAACTAAAAATGTAATATACTTTTTTGACACACACACACACGCGCACGCACAAGCGCGCGCCCGCGTATCTTTAATCGTATATATTTTACGCACTCGAAAAACAAAAAAAAACTAATTATAATATATAATTAATAATTAATAAATAATATATAATTAAACGCATTGTAGTATTTGTCATTTTAATAATTAGCACCTATTTTATTTCGAATAAATAAACGATGTAGTTTCTTCGTATTTCAAACGAAGTCTTCATCTTTGTTCAGATTTCAAATCATATTTCATTTTTTTTTTCTTCTTCTGCCAACATACTCCGTACAGCGCGCACTTATCGAGTTATGCAATTAGACCACATGGTTTATCAAACAGAACTAAGACGCGCGTAAAGTTCATATTTTATAACTGGATGATGGCAATGAATAATGCAAAACTTTTATCGATATAACAGACCCAAAGGAAAAAGAAACGCACCTTAACTCATTTAATTGCATTAATGCGGCTAATGAGCAATTTTTTTAAGTAGTTGCCAATATTATAACAAACATTAATGCCAATACGTTAAACATTATACTTGATTATTTTCAATCATTCATTGCCATATGAGGGAGAGAGCAATAAGTGATGCAGGAAATGTATTAATCGAAATGAGTAAATGTTGAAATTACATTTTTCTTTGACATTCGGTCGATGAAAAACCTTGAGGATTAAGTAGGGAAAATGCAACTTGCTACTATATTCACTCGAGCGCTCTCGCGAGTGAAATTTGTCATTAGTCCACGGGCAAAGTAGAGTCGTAAAACGTACTGTACGAGTCAAATACCTGAAATCCCTAGGCCGAGGCCAGTCTGTTTTAGTAATGCAATACCCTTCTAGAGTTACGCACGTCTATATTTCGGAGAGGAAACAGCCATCGCCCAATTAAATCGCCTTTTTCCTCTTTGTCTTCGACTCTCGTTAATTTTCCTGCATTTCTGCTCTCTTCCTTTTGCTCAAACTCAGTTTCTATATATATTGTCCTCTAGAGTGTGGCATTTCTTAATAGCCGGGCTGTTTGGAAAATGTTGGCTTTGGCAACTTTCTCGAATCATTGTGAATGGCTTGGAGTTTTTCATCTTTCGTAATTATTATTCCCTTGGATTTTTTTTTTTTTTTTTTTTAATACATTTCACCAAGTTAATCGATATTTGAGTAAATTATTCACCTTCCACCTTCTCTTTCGTTTATCTTCAAATAAAAAAAAAAAAAAAACCAATGCATCCAACAATCAATTTTTTAAACATTTACGAATGAAATAAAAAGCAAAAAGAAAATTTTAACGAATGTGGATTTTCAGCGGAGCTTTTAAAAAAAAAAAAAAAAAACCAATGCATCCAACAATCAATTTTTTAAACATTTACGAATGAAATAAAAAGCAAAAAGAAAATTTTAACGAATGTGGATTTTCAGCGGAGCTTTTAAAAAAAAAAAAAAAACCAATGCATCCAACAATCAATTTTTTAAACATTTACGAATGAAATAAAAAGCAAAAAGAAAATTTTAACGAATGTGGATTTTCAGCGGAGCTTTTAAAAAAAAAAAAAAAACCAATGCATCCAACAATCAATTTTTTAAACATTTACGAATGAAATAAAAAGCAAAAAGAAAATTTTAACGAATGTGGATTTTCAGCGGAGCTTTTAAAAAAAAAAAAAAAACCAATGCATCCAACAATCAATTTTTTAAACATTTACGAATGAAATAAAAAGCAAAAAGAAAATTTTAACGAATGTGGATTTTCAGCGGAGCTTTTAAAAAAAAAAAAAAAACCAATGCATCCAACAATCAATTTTTTAAACATTTACGAATGAAATAAAAAGCAAAAAGAAAATTTTAACGAATGTGGATTTTCAGCGGAGCTTTTAAAAAAAAAAAAAAAACCAATGCATCCAACAATCAATTTTTTAAACATTTACGAATGAAATAAAAAGCAAAAAGAAAATTTTAACGAATGTGGATTTTCAGCGGAGCTTTTAAAAAAAAAAAAACAGTAGGGAGCCTCGCCCATACGAAAAACATAACCAACTAATGTAGGTAGATTTTCAGTAAGTACAATGAAATAGAAGAAATTCTCAAAAACAATGTATTTATGTGTTTACTTTACTTATCGTCCAATAAGGAATGTCAAAAAATTCTTAAAAAAAAAATAAAAAAAATAGCGAATGATTTAGCTGAAAAAGTATATTTTTAGCGATTAAATAAAAAATTGACACAAGAGAAAGGGACAAAAAAAAAAAAAAAAAAAAAAAAAAAAAAAAAAAAAACAAAAAAAAACCAAAAAAAAATATGAAGAAGAAAAGGTGAGTTAGTTATGGTAAAGAAAGAGTCGACCTTCTTATCTTACAATACGCAAGCGTTGGGAATTGTAGCTGATAATATCATCAGATTGTGATTGTTTAAAATGTAAAGCTCATACGATTTAATTAGAGATCTTTAAGGAATTCGTTTATTAAATGTATGTTTAGATTATTTATGTTTTACGTATAAAATAATAATTAGAATATCGTATTATTTTATGATGTAGAGAAATATATAAATTAGAAAATTTAAGACTTAATTGCCGAGGACAAATAATTAGTGAAACGCTATCAAAGCACTTTTATTTCTCCCATTTACAAAGCTAATAATAAGCGTGTATTAATAACAACAATTACCACATCTAGGTAAATTGTTAGGACTGTCTGACTGCTCTGTTTCCTTCTAATTGGCGACTTCAGAAATCATCCGGTTGAGTTGTGGATACACATTAACAGAGAAGAAAGAATATACAAAAAAGGGACCAAATATGACAAAGTAAAGGAACAAGAATTCTAAAGTCCATGTATTAATACTTCCTTAGTTATTTCTGAACAAGTGGCGAACATATGGAATTATAAATGTAATGCACTAATGTGATTCATAGTATCAATTAAAGGAGTTATCAATTTGTATTAAAATTATTATATTATGCGTTCAAGAATTACACACACTCTTATGTCATTAATAAATTACGAGATTACAGATATTTTTTTATTTTATTTTTTTTTATACTATTTAAAGTACAAAGTACTTTGAGAATATTCGAAGAAGGGTCTGCGTTTCTTTCAATTTTTCTTTTTTCTTCTTTTTTTTTCATTCTTTCTTTCTTTCTTTCTCTAAATCGTCTAAAAAACAAGTCTCCATTGTACGTTCAACTAGAGATTGAAAAATATAATTTCAATTTTTGTCCAATAGGCCATTTCAACAAGTTATAAAAACAATTTTCATTATAAACGCCGTAGTCTTCTACAAAACTTTATTGTAATTCATTGGTGCATGCATTAGCTTTATCGTCAATTCTTTTTGCAATAGATTTTTGTTTTGTTTTTGTTTTTTTTTGTTTTTTTTTTGTTTTTTTGTTTTGTTTTTGTTTTTAATGAATTTTATATCGGTGATATACTGTTGGTGTAAAAAATTACCTATATTTTTCCAATGAGATTGATATAAATTCGAGAGATTATAAAGCATTATATTCACTGAATTTTTTACTCGACTTTTTACAATTAATTATTCTCACTGCTTAATAATGACAAAAATTAGTTTATTACACGTTAGTAATGCATAATACCGAGCAAGCCTAATACGAACAATACGATATAATCAAATTTCAGAACGTCTCGTCCGGGCTGATTTAACGTGTAAGTTCGCGAGTAAGTAAATACGAATAATCAGTCTCGCAACATAGAATCGACAAAAAAACAAAAAAGAAAAAAAAAAGAAGAAAAAAAAAAAAAGAAGAGTACACGTATCGCAAGGAGCGTTAGGAACTGCCAATGAAACATACCTAATGCATCAACGGGAAAAGCAAAATTGGCCAACGGACGCAATGGAATATCGAAAGCAGCGTAAATAGAGAAGGGGAGAAAGAGGAGTGCGCGGGTGTGCGTGTGCGCGTGTGCTCGAGGAAGCAGGCGCGCTCGCAATTAGCTCGTATAGGACTGCGCGGCTCGTATGTTTTGACGGGTCTCGTTACGCGCAACAATCGGGTAATGGGTGTTTTAGTGCCTCTCTCTCTCTCTCTCTCTCACTCTCTCTCGTCCCTCCCCCCGTTGTCGACCCCGACCCCGACCCCGCCCGCACTACTCGGCTCCTTGTTTTACATCGTCATGCGCGGGTGCAACGGACCTGGGCTATACGCGAGCTCGTCGACTACGGCGCCGTTCTAATACGCTCGGGAGACTTACGTTCGGCCTCTCTTCACGTACCTAACAAGCTAAAGAGAAGTCGTCACGGTTACTTGGAGGCGCATCCTCGTTTCAAACTCGAGACCACTGTCCCTTCGACTCGCCCAGGCCCTTTACGATACCAAGCAGTGGTAACGACGATTATTAGGCCCCGTTCGCCTCGACGCACATACACAGACACACGTGTTTGATTGTTGCTATCGTTGGGGACAGGAGGAGAGTTTGCTAAATTTTGAAAATCTATTTGCTCGCACGATAATACGATTAATTGTTGAAGGAGTGAGCGGCTCGATCACTCTTCGCCCTCCTTCCATAAAAATTCTAAAATATCCTGAATTTCAATACTCAAAATGTTTACGTAAGGTCGACTCGTCATTATATTAGCATTGTTGATTAGTGGTGATTTATTCAATGTCCTTTCTTCGTTCGTACTTACTTTACAATTATTATTTTTAATGTTTATTGATTGTTTATATAAAAAAAAGGGGGTGGGGGACGATATGTAATGTCTCGCGTGCGAAATAATCGTACGAATTTATGTGCAAAGACGTTAATGGCCGAGCATCGTGTATACGAACAATTTCAATAATAATTTGTTTATTTTTCAGGTTAGGCAGCAGATAAATTTTGTAAGAGTTGTAAATTGGTAAAGACTATTAAGATTATAATATGGTGTAATTGCGAGGAGACGAGGGGCCCGCCCGGATGGGTGAATTTATCGATCAGTTTGTCCAAGCGCGTTAAATGGGAATTCAAGAGCCTCGATCACTTGGTGAACGACTCCCCGACTAAACTTGGTAAAAGTTTGTCAGTAGCGATATTATACCATAATATACGAATTATTAGGAGCATTAGCTAGTCGATTTAAGCGATCGAGTTTGATTATCCGAGAATGCGATCGGTATGTGGAAGAAGACAAGTGCAAGATAAATGCAATAATAGCTTACGTTGATGTCGAAGTTCGCGTTAATCTCGAAGTCGAAGTCGAATTCGTCGTCGTCGTCGTCGAGGGTGAGGGGCCTCGACGTACTGGAGGTTTGTGCGGTGGTTGCCTCGGTTTTATTACCCTCGGCCTTATTGCCCTCGAGCTTATTGCCCTCGAGCTTATTGCCGTCGAGCTTATTGCCGTCGAGCTTATTGCCCTCGGCGGCGGCGGGTTCGTTCGTCAGCGACTGGTTGATGTCCACGTCCATCAGTCGTTCGACCACCTCGGATATGTCCTTCTCGGGCTCGAGCTCGGGCTCGGGCTCGGGCTGGTCGAGGGACTCGCTCGATTCGCTCGTGACCCCGGATAATCTGGCTGCCGCCAGCATCTCTTCTCGGGCGTTCCGTTTGATGTTTGGCTGAAAGAGGAATGAGGAGTGTCGGAGCTTCGCCGCTTAAAATCACGATGCAAACACGTGGATAGATGCCATCGATTATTCGTGGAGAGATTTATGGATAAATTTTACATTGCCTTGAGAGTGAGAGATTGTAAAGTTGAGTAGCAGCGTTGGCTAATATCGAAGGGCGCTTTGGTTAAATAAATGTTCATACAAGTAGTAAGTAATAGAAGAGAAGAAACCGTGGAATAGAAGAGAGAGAGAGAGAGAGAGAGAGAGAGAGAGAGAGAGAGAGAGAGGGGGGGGCGATTTAAGTTTAAATATATTGCGTTGGCGAGTAACTGAATAATGGCTAAGCGAACTCTGCACGAACAATGTTTTATAGTAATGGAATTAAGGAATTACAGCGACACGCTGCGCGTTGACGATTAAGGTCATAATCGTCGAGGTAAATAACAAATTCCAATATATTCTTAATAAGGTTTAACAAGGTCTTTTGCCGCCATAAGCCAAGACTTTTAACGATGAACGTCCCGTTCATCGCTTAACCTTTCGCCCGTATTCCCTTCATATTTTTCAATAATAATGCGTTCGTCGAAAATCGGCACACACGGCCTTTCGTCTTTTATCCGAGCGCGATATTTATGAATCTTTATAACCTTACAGTTTTGCAAATACATCATTGGCAATGTGCAGAATATATCGGTCGTGATGGAATCGCGCCGAAAGGCTCGAATAATCATTGCGCCAATCAATTTTTCGCTCGCGTAACTATAGAAAAGCGATCTCCATTTCCTTTTTAACGATCGCGTCGCGCCGCTTGTGTTGTGCTCTTCAAATGCTCCTATTTCTTCAACAGAAAGCAGTTAAAGAAGGAGAGAAGAGAAGTGTGCCGCTCGCGCAAACTGTTATTGTTATTAAATATATTGGCGATCGCCGGCCTGATTGGCTTAGGTAATGGATTAGTCTCGGCGTGATGATTTGCGTAATATAAATAAAATATAAGCTCGCGTCGGTTGCGCAATCATCATAAAAAACTGGGCCGTTTGCAGGCGAGCGCTTTTTGTTCCTTCTGTAGGGCAAACTCGGTATAAAATGATACGGATAAGCCTAATTTCAAGTTTACCCAACCCACGATATCTCATTTTGAAATTAATTTTTTCTACATTTTTTTGTTTTGTTTTGTTTACAGCCAAACCTCCGGCCAATATTATCAACGCGTTATTTACTTTTACGCTATTAACCAAGATTTAAAAATTATGTCCCATTGATTTTTTGCTTTGATTATTCGTATTGCAATGCAAGAATGGCGCTCGTGTTAATCGCCAACGACATAAATAATTTAAAATTATGGTAAGATATTAATTATTTTAATGATAAGACAATAACCGATCTTATACACAATTATCTTATACACAATCGCTATATTACGTAAAATAATATTTTCTTAATGATATAATTTAATTAAAATTTTCCCCAATTACGGATATAATTGTTAATATACGGATAGTTGGCTAAATGGGATGTCGCGCTTTTTGCGAAAACAATATAGATTTGTATTAATAGGATAATAACTCACTGTTAACGTCGGATATTTCGATGCCGGAATTCGCTTCTTATACTGTTCTCTCATGTACTTCTCGACCTTCAGCGATTCCTTGTATTCCGGGAAGAGATTAGCATACTGCTCGGGGTCCGCTAAGCTCTGTCCTGCTTTTTCACTGACGGCCGACAGCTTCTCTTTCCACAGCTTCACAATGGATGATATTTTACTGGGCGCGTAGGTCCTTGCGAAGAATGCCGCTTCGGGTATGCGATCGGTTTTTATAAGAATCTCCAAGCACTTGTCGATGTCACCGAGCAAAAAGTACGAGAGGAAGGAGATGTTGTTTTTCCCCGACTCATCCGAGGCAGAAGCTAATGAATCAAACAGTCTGTGGTAAGGAACGCGCGCTCTTCTCATTACATATTTCATTATGTCAATGATATTTCGTAACTGTATCCACTACCTTTTCATTAAAATTGCTTAGTAATAGCTTTTCAAACGATCGACTTGATATAAAATCATATAAAATCTATTTGGTAATTATTGTAATTGGTTTATTATTTTTATTCAGTTATTTCAAGGGAATATATTATGTTTAAGAATTAAAAATTCATTCTTATAGATTTTTTTTGTATCGCATCTTCTTCATCTTCATCTTCATCTTCATCTTCATCTTCTTCTTCTTCTTCTTCTTGAGTAATTTATTGAACAGTAAGTAGTGAGATTTACGCTTACAGTTGTAATGAGATAATTGACGTGTATTGACTATTGACTATTTACGTGAGCGACAACCATTACAATACAAATGTGTATAACGATCGCGTGCGATCGTCGTATTTTGTAAAATGTTAAGTAATAATAAAAAAAATTTTTAAAAAAGGTCAAGCGTGTTACCCAATTTTTCCACCATGTCTGCATTGCCAGTACTTGTCGCTAATAAAAGAAGACCGGCAAAGTCCTCGGCTTTGTGCAAGCATTCCTGAACGAGGCGAAGCTTTCCTTGTTGCGTTGCCAGCGAGGCGAGTTGACGCCATTTTTGTTGACATTTTGCTTCCTTAGCCAACTCGTGAGCCGTATCAAGATCCTCCAATGCAAGAGCCAATTCAAATCTGTGCTCCGGATCTGTCGAAACCGCGAGCGCTTGCCTTTTAAAACCCTAGATTATTTAATAATAAGTTATAATTAACGATTCCGTTAAGCTTGGACAATGTCTTTCAATCACTCTGTCCTAATATTGATAAAAAAAAAAAAAAAAAAAAAAAATCTTGACACGATATTATGGACTTTTATCGACAAAATTACAATCGATACTATCAACAATTATGACTAGCTTCTAACAATCATTTCATTCCAATGGTGAATTACCATTGGAAAAAACTTGTTAAGCCTCCTTATTTTACATTGATTATATATATATATATATATATATATATATATATATATATTTTGTTGAAATAGCACTTAAACAACCATTATTACATTCATTTATTACCTCAATAACAAACGTATTTATTACTTTAATGCATCGCGCAAAGTACATTTTCACGATGCACGATAAGATCGTCTCTTTATACGCATTCGAGCTTTTACAATTTATCAACATAAAATTCTGTATTTACCTGTTTTTCCAAAAAATGAGCTACACGGGTACGATGCTCTTTTGGAACCGTTGGTAGCACCTTGTTGGCAGTGTCAAAGTCTTTTCGCATAACTGCAGTCTGATACTCCAATACGGATAATAATAACGAATAAGAAACTACTGATAATTCTTTGTCGCACAGATATAATCTATTATCCTTTGGAACATAACCAAGTAAATACATTGGTCTGTCTAAATGCGATACAGTTACCACTTCTCCTCCTACAAAATAATTTACTCTATTTACACTGTTAGTGTAGATGAAGCAGTCACCGACCCAAAGACCCGTTTTAACCACTTCGTTCATTTCTGCAATCATCTGTAACATAAAATTGCTACGTCAATGAAATAAATCAATCGACAGCTACATTTAACAGTCATCGACAAACTTTACTTTAGCACTTTGGTCTTATAATTTGCATAGTGGATGTAAAATAGATATTCCTTAAGCGTTAAATTGACCAAATGTATACAATTAATATGAGCTTATAATAACTTGCCTCACTTTAACATGTATTAATGATAGACACGACTAGTCACGAGATTTTAGAAATATTGATAATATTGGTAATCGTATGACTTGGTCTTTGAACGATATTTCGCCGAAATACCTCGAATGCATCTTCTATGTCCTCGGAATTTTCGGTAGCTCCTTGGACGGCTTCGGTACGGTATTTAAGAATAAAATATTGGTCGGCTGTGGCGAGGGCGACGAGGGAGGCGTTTTCCGCCCAGTAGACATGAGTTGGTTGAATGTCGATACGCCGGATGAGTTTGAGCGTGTCCCAGTCGTAAAACGAAAGCCCCGAGCTAGAATAGATTCCCAACAAATATCCACCAAAAATACCTAAAACAAATATTGTTTCAAATCACACAATAATTGTGGCAATTACTTTGACACATTACATGTAAAATGCATATAAGATTGCATATACGTTGCTTATCCGTACAACTATTGACCAATTTGATTGATACAAATTGACCAATTAGATTTACACGGTCAGGTATGGTTGCTACAAGGTGAATTATCAAAATTTTACTCTCAACCTTATGGGATGGGAGCAAGGTTTAACACTCGATAATTACTGGCACAGAAAATCAATGTAAAATTATAAGTAGAGTCGATGAGTACGAGCTATTCGCACTAACGTACAATGCAATTAGCATTTATCGTGGATAAATTGTAAGCGTAGTTAGCATTGGAGGCATCGACTAAATATGATTTATCGTAACTATTTTTTGTCAGATGAAATGTAACTTCTAATACGTATAGATATAAACTTACTATCAGCTCCAAAGTCTGGTTTGAAGCTTTTCTTTTCCTTAAAGTTCTTGAATACCTTGACAGTAGTCGAGCTTTCTCTAACTGCATATTGACTGGAATCCGCAGCCCAGACGAATTCAAACGCCTGCCCAAAGGCTTTGTTTCTCAGAGCCATTGACGTGTAGATAATGTACTCTCCGTCCCCACAAACTACCAAGAACCTTCCATTGGGATTGTGTTGAATCGTTTGCGGATAAATTTCACATGCTCCCATGTCCTTGACGATTAAGGGCAACTTTTCACCATCCTGGGCCTCCTCGCCCAGGGCCTTGAGATTCACCTGCTGAATCTCGCTATGCTTGGCCCAGACAATCTTACCACCTAATATTGCAAGCAAATTTCATTAGGTTAAGTCATCGCAATACAACTACGACAAATCAACGATTTATTCGTTCGTAACTTCATTAGTCGCTTAACTCGTCTAATTACGGGACTAGATAGCTCGGCGCGATGTAAGCGTGCATAAGCGAAGGACAAATATTCGTACCGGAAGAGTCCATGGAGACAGCGGGCTCCTCGCGTCCCACTTTCACCATAACGCTGCCCTCGTCATAGCCGATGGCAACGTTATTCGAGCCTTTCATGCACGCGATCGTCCAGACCCTCTCGAAGCCGTAATTCAGTGGCGACTCGAGTCTGTAGGTGCCGGCGTGCCATATTCTGACGGTGCCGTCTTCCGATCCGGTCAGGACGATCGGCAGCTCCGGATGGAAGCACACCGCCGAGATATTTTGCGTGTGCCCCTCGAGGGTCTGTACGCAGGTCTTGTTCTGGTAGTCCCAGATCTTGACGTAACGGTCGTCGGCTCCGGAAATCAAATAGGGCTTGTCGCCCCCGTGATAGTAATCCACGCAGTTGATGCCCTTTTCGTGTCCCTCGAGGGTGAAATTCGCCGTGGAGGAGCCGAGCTGCCAGACTTTGACAGTTCTGTCGAGGGATGCGCTGGCGAAGGTGTTGTTGTCCTTTGGATTGAAGACGATCTGCATGACGTAGTGCGTGTGGCCCTCGAATACTTGTTGGCAAAGCCACGACTTATCCCAGTTCCATAGTTTAATCAGCATATCATCTACGATCATTGATTTCTATATTAATTACTTCAGGCTCGATACAATGTCGGAGTGGCTAAACTTTTTATTCTTATCGAAGAGTGTTTGATTAAATTTGTCAAAAGTGTTACAAATGCACAAACATTAACACACGTAAGAACAGTTATGCAGAGATACGATTTCGATAGCCCTTACGCTTTTTGTAGCAAATGAAAATTGAAGTATCAAACGGATTGGGAATATCCCTTTTTGAAGCCAAGCCGACGAGCGCGCAAACTGAATACGTACCACTGCTGGTGAGAATAAATGGCTGCGTTGGGTGTACCGTGATGCATCTGACATAGTCGCTATGTGCCTCGAAGGAATGAACCCGCTCCAAAGTATTGTAGTTGAAGACTCTGATTTGCATGTCGTCGGATCCCGTGAGAACCCAATTTTTTCTCGGTACAAATTTGGCAGATCTGACAGGAAGATCGCAGACCTCGAATGTTTTTACGAGTGTCTGCGTCTCGTGGTTCCAAATATTCACGTTGCCCTGGTACAGCGAGCACAGCATCCATGGCTCGGTAGGGTGAAGGTCGACACATTTTACTCTGTCCGACCTCGCCGTTAACTTGCGTTTAATGTCCAGTCGCAGTGGCTGAAATAAAAACATGCCTTTATCAAACGAATGCCACATAGTTTAATCTTCTTTACACGGTATTGCAACTTCTACCTTGTATTTTAAGAGCCACGTTTCCTATCACATAACCCCGCAATACTATCGGGATTTCTATCAAAACAAACAAATTATTGGGGCAAAATTGATCAACGATCAGAGGATGTAAGAGCGATGGCTTTGCTAAAGCATTAACAAGTACTTTACCAAGGCGATTGCCAAGCTCACAAGTGCAAAAGCACGAGCAGAAGGTAGAAAGAGGTCTGTTGACATGTCGTGCATGATTTAATTGTCAGGTGCAGCAGCCGCGACGATAAGGCGGTCGCCGATCATTTAATAACGAGCCTGGATAATCATTCTAACAACGACAATCATTCGACATACGTACCATTTTTTACAGGTTCGGCCGCAATGTCCTTCGTCCTCGTATATTTTGGCAGGGATGCTCTAGATCGTCAGTACGAAAATCAATGTTAAAGCGGTTGATCGAAATAAGAAACCGCTGCCATCGAGGAAAAAGTGTTAGTGATATGGAGAGTGGAGGTAGAGACGTGGCGACTGCCGCGGTGGTAAATCGCGTGGGACACTGGGAGTTTTAGTTATCAATATGGCAGCCAATAAGGCAGATTGTTGCAACCGAGCGCGAATATTCGGCTTTATTTGAAATATCGTGGAGCAACTTGTTTACGGATAATTATTATTCCGAGTACTGTTTATCGGGTTTTCGAGTTTTTGCTTCGAAAGAAATTGGAGCCTTGTGTGCTTATTTTATTATCTTGTTAAAATTCGCTAGACTTTTGGCAATTCGATTAGTGACAATAAACGAAATTCGAAGAGTGGACACTGTGCTTCCTATTATTAACTCTTTAACGTTTACCATTTTGATTTTCTGTGCCCTAGCCTTCATTTTATTGTACAGCATATATATATATATATATATATATATATATATATATATATACACAATATATTGTATATATTGCATAAGTAAGTTATATATACCTGTAGGATTAATATTAATATAATATACAGAATTGTTTGCGTTGCGTTTGATAAAACTTTTAATTAGAACCGGATGAGTTATAGAATTTTACAATACTTTTAGGGATTTTGTCTTTATTTTGTGGGTGGGGTGTCGTATGGGGAAATTTAGACCTAGCATAACCCTAACCTTAAAAATGCCTTGTTGACAAATTGCATGGTAAAGCTCTTGCAGTTGTGTTATAAACAAGTTGGAGAGGTGTTGTCGATTTTTCGAAGGATTATTTTTGCAAAAAATATTTTTTATTAGTTTGATTAATATTCGTGTGAGTTATTGAAACTTTTATAAAAATATTACATCGCCGAAATTTTAATTGTGGTTAAGTTACATATTAATACATGGTTAATATTTTTAAATATTTTGTTTAGTTTTCATGCATTAGTCGTTCATTATTAATTATAATTTAGCAATTTATATTTTTCATTATTATTTACAAGCTGTTACAATATTTCCTTTATGTTTCATGCTCGTTCATTGAAAATAATGCAAGATTTAGTTTTGAGCAAATTAATTTTAAATTTCTTAATAATATTTCTTTTTATTGATTTTAAATTGAAAAAGTAAACAAGTATGATTGAGTTAGTCAATTTTTTTTTCTCTGACATATTGATTTATTTTATATTTTACATTAGGTAAATAGTCTATTGTGCTATATTAGTAATATAAAATTGTTTATTAATTTCAATCGATGCCATTTATTTATTAAAGTTCTGGCTTCTTTATAATAAATAAGTTATTGGGTATAAGATTTATATTTATGTGTAGTTATATGTGCTTTGAATTATCGTAATTGTGGTTATATAATGAGTTTGGAAATGTTATTTTACAAATGGTAATTAACAATCGTAAGAAAATATGTTATGAAGAGATTATTGAAACGATTGGAACAAAGACGGCTTTCTTGTCAAACAGAAGCCATAAGAAAACTTAATTTCAAACGATAATTTACCGATTTATGTTTTATTATATAATAAAATTAAAACCATAATATCAATGATGAAAGAGTCAATTATTTTTTATCCTTATATTTAGGATATATAGGATAATATTTAGGATAAATAGGATATAATTGAAATGCGAATAGAAGAATATAATTAACGATTGTTTTCAAATAATTTTACAGTTTGTAACGATGTCGGGGGAAGAAGCTAGCATACCCAAGCTAAATGCTTCTGCGGAAAGTACCGGGCAGTCAGTCACAAGTACATCCCAAGGGACCAGTAACAATACCGAGCCTAATAATAATCCAAGACCAGATCAAGCTAGTAGACAGAACAATCTTCAGCGAATTCAACAGCGCAAGCAACAAGTTTTCAATTTACCGCAGGTTAAAAAGTTACTGAAACTTGCGAATTACAGTGCTTGTCAAGTTGACGATTGTAAGTGCAATGGCTGGAAGAATACACAGACGCTGACAAAATCTCCAAAGAGCGAAGCTCAGCCCGTTGCCACATTTACCGATCCATGCAGGAGCTGTGGTCACATTTTAGAAAATCATATTTCTCACTTGGTTTCGCAAACTGATGAGATGATCAATAAGCTGTTAGGTATGGTTGTCGACGTAGATAATATTTTTATGGGAATGCACCGAGAAGAGGATCCAGATACTAAAAGAGTCTACTATTTTTTATTCAAACTATTAAGAAAAAGTATTTTGTCCATGACAAAACCTACGATTGAAGGCCCATTAGGGCAACCGCCTTTTGAAAAACCGAGCATATCAAAGGCAATCACTAATTTTGTTGTTTATAAATTTGGACATTTAGCACAGCGAGATTGGCAATCCATGTATGATTTAGCAAAAATGTTTTTACATTGTTTGAATCATTGGAACTTTGAGACCCCAAGTGCTAGAAAAACGGCTGTCAATGCGGACGAAGCACCCGCATACAAAATTAATTACACACGGTGGCTTGTGTTTTGTCATGTACCTGCTTTTTGCGATTCTTTGCCGCATTTTGATACAACATTAGTGTTCGGCAGAACTTTACTACAAGCAGTTTTTAAATCAGTTTGCAAACAGCTAATGGATAAATGCCACAGTGAAAAAGACAGGATGTCAGCTGAAAAGCGAATTCTTGTTTTAAATCATTTTCCCAAGTTTGTATATATTTTTATTCTACAATTCAATGCCTTTAAATGGGATTATCAAATTAAAACATTCTCAATCGTATTTATTAAATTTGCTGAATATAATATTTTATCTTTCATAGAAATTTGCAAATACATAAAGAACATTTTTGAAAGTAAAATTTGTTTTTTTCAAATAGTCTCTTGCATATTAATTTATACGATATTTCATTATTTCAAACAGAGCCAATGAATATTGTATTAAACGTGCTTTGCTTTACAGATTCCTATCGATGCTGGAAATAGAAATTTATTCAGAAAATTCTCCAATATGGGATCCAGAATTCAAGCAAGTTTTGCCTTCTCATTTGCAAATGTCGGTGGAATCAAAAGCAAATCAAAATCGTAGAACAGCCGGTGAATTTGAGAAGGTTACCGTTGCCCCTAACGAGAAAGATAATTTTACGACTATCAATCTTAGTCCAGGTATGAAAAAACTTCAAGGCAAAAGATCTCATTCTGAAGTGCGATCGGACGCGAAGAGAAGAAAGACTGAAGAGGTTTTCGAAGATTTATCAGAAGAGACTGTAATGAAAATCATAGCCACTATTAAGGACCCAAATTATATGTTTGGATTAGATGCAATTTTCCCGCCCAATGCACCTAGAGATGAAACTCCAAAATTAGAAGAGAGTAGGAAGATGATTGAGTTTCATATAGTTGGAAACAGTTTGACTCAGCCAGTGTCAAAGCAAACTATGCTTTGGCTTATTGGCCTTCATAATGTTTTCAGTCACCAACTAACAAGAATGCCAATGGAATATATTTCTCAATTGGTTTTCGATCCGTGAGTGATTCTTTTAAACTTAACATTTCCATTAAATATTCATACACACACACACACACGCGCGCGCGCGCGCGCGCACACACACACATATATATATATCTTTTAGATATATATATATATATTTTATATTAAATTTCCCAATTAACGTACATAGACTTGAGATATGCTAAATAGTTATATATATATATATATATATATATATCTAATAAACTTGAAAGAATTTATTTTTTAAAAACAATTTGAAAAATAAAATAAAATTGTTAATATTCTAACATTTAATACCATAAGAATTAAATATATAAATGTTTATTATGATCACGTAATCAATATATAAATCATAATAACTATATAGTTTTATTAAAATAAACAGATTTAAATGAATATGCACATTTTTCAACAACATTATAATAAATTTAAATGTGAAAATTTAAATTGTAATATTTACTTTTTGTAAGTTTTAAGAAAAGCTTTAAGAAAAATTATGACAATAGAAACATAATACAATGCTTGAGGTTCGTTAGTAAAGTTCTTAAAATATTATGTATATATGCAAACTTTTAGACATCCCGCTAATGAAAATTAGTAAGTTGTTCTTAAACATGAAAGTCAAAGAAATTGCAGAATTTGTTTTTTATAATTTATCATTACTATAATACTATTATCATTATTTTTATTTGAACCGTTGGATAAGATTATTTAATTTTTTAAATTCCGTTTAAATAAGTCAATAAATTTATATTACAGACACTTGTCCATGTTTATATTTAGTTAATTTAATACTTAACAAGTATTTGAAAATAGTTTTCATGTTTTATAAGACTTATCATTTTGATATATAATCGTGTCATAGTTTCCTTCATTTTTTTTAAGTTACGAATCATAGTGGCGAAACATTGGAAAGCATTTGTATTGTTACCTTTAACCGAATAGTCAATGAATTTTGACGTTGGCAAAAGCAATTTACATCAACCAAGTCCTAGATTTGAGTGTCTTTATTGCCAATAATTGCATAATCAGAGAATTCCCTATTCGTTTTGCAGGAAGCACAAAACGCTTGCACTGATAAAAGACGGCCGACCAATCGGTGGCATCTGTTTCCGGATGTTCGGCACTCAAGGCTTCACCGAAATCGTCTTCTGTGCAATGACGTCGGAACAACAGGTCAAAGGCTACGGCACTCATCTCATGAACATGTTAAAGGATTATCACATTAAGCACAATATCCTCCACTTCCTCACGTTTGCCGATAAGTTTGCCATCGGCTACTTCAAGAAGCAAGGCTTCAGCAAAGACATCAAACTGCCTCGTGCCATCTTCCAAGTTAGTATCGATTTTTCACGATAGACGGCAATTAACTAACCATTTTCATCCGACCTTGAATTTACTATATGCCCGGATATTTAGTCGAACTACCTTATACTACGGGGAGTTGGGAAGTAGCGGAACTATATTAGCTTCTCGATTAATTTTAGTCACCATCCAGATGGTACCAAGCTTCAACCTGTCCGCTCAAATCACCTCAAATAGGCTCAATAAGTCAATCGGGTCTCCACTTGTTTCAGGGCTATATTAAGGATTACGAAGGGGCGATGCTGATGCACTGCGAGCTGAACGCGAAGATCGTCTACACGGAGTTCACGACGGTCGTGCGCAAGCAAAAGGAGATCGTGAAGCAGCTGATCTACCAGCGCCAGCAGGAGATCCAGAAGGTTCACCCGGGCCTCACTTGCTTCAAGGAGGGCGTGCGCGGCATCCCCGTGGAATCCATACCCGGTATACGCGAGACCGGCTGGAAGAATTACGCGCAGACGCGAACGCGGGGCGTGGCCAAGGGCTCGCAGGGCCCGGAACCGATGGAGGCCTGCCTCGACATCACCGACTCCCTCTACAATGCCCTCAAGAGCGTCCTCACGAGCGTCAAGAATCACAGCGCAGCTTGGCCCTTCCTAAAGCCCGTCGACAAGAACGAAGTGCCTGATTATTACGATCACATCAAGTACCCCATGGGTGAGTCGTCGTTCAATCCTTTCGCCCCGTTACTCAAGCCCTCGGATTTACAATTGTCGCAATTACAATGTAATAATGTATTTGCAATTGTCGTATTATAGATCTGAAGACAATGACCGAACGTCTAAAGTCGAGGTACTACGTGACACGGCGCCTCTTCATCGCCGACATGACGCGCATCTTCACAAACTGCCGATTATACAATGGCCCTGATACGGAGTACTATTCATGCGCCAACTCCTTGGAAAAGTACTTCCAAACGAAGATGAAGGAAATAGGCCTTTGGGATAAATAGTCGAGAGCTGGGCCACTGATACGTCTTAGCGATTGTTTACATCCGTCCTCGTTTTCCAACATTATGTTGTTCGAGGACATGGTGAGTGCCGGTATGTCGTGCGACTAATAGGTAAACTTAGGCTGTTCGAGAAAATGATTCCCTCAGTTGGTCACAATGATATTATTGTTCGGTGGGAACGATGCCTAGAACATTGTTTTGGAGCGAATACATTACAATGTTCATCTCAAAATTCTTTTCTTTCGGCATTCGAAAAGAATGAATTTTCAATTGAGCTTTTAGATGATTACGCGAACAATTGGATTTCACAAGCCTAGTTCTATTGGTGTAATAGTACGCCTATACACAATATAGTTTACAATTTTTAAATAAATTTATTACTCATATAGGTATGGGTAGGATTTCATTTTGACAATAAAAGATAATTATCGTTAGTTAAATTTAAGTGACAAATATTTGTATTTTATCGCGCATTTGTTCTATCGCAAGAATAAGTTTTTCCTCATTTCATACTGAAAAGGTAACAATTTTGATGTTATGTTATAGTCGATTATAATTATTTTTTCAATGACTTTCATTAAGATATGTAAAGAAAAATGTATTTTTTAAATTACAATCTCCATATTATTGTATAGTGTACAAAGATGCTGTTGATTAATTTTAATTTATACTCGTTTCAACATCAATTAAACTATACGAAATTTAAAAGCTTGGGTCCTTCCCGCTAAGGCGTCCCACTTTTTTAAATTTATCTATTTAATGTACTTTTAATTTTCCTCCCTCAGAAGGAATGAAAAATCCAATTAAAGCATAAAAAATTTTGTTAGAATTTTCATAATGTATGCTTTAACATTCTTTAATTTTTCTACATTATATAATGAATGGTGGATAATTTTTGCTCGTATAGTTTGATCAATTAAAACTTACGGATGAAATTCTAGAAGAAAATGAAAAAATCAAGATATATTTAAACACACATAAAATACACTGAATTATTATTAAAAGTAAAATAATATTTACACTTACCGTAAATAAATTGCGACCAGAAAGATAATGATTATGATCAAATAATGCAAATGAAAATAACGTTTTATCATTAAGAAGATATAAAATCATACATGAAGTTTTAACGATAGTTTTTATTTCTCTGTGAAAAGACAAAAAAAAAAAAAAAAAAAAAAAAAAAAAAAAAAATATAAGGAAAGCTTAAACAAAAAACGTTTGCCCGATAATTCTGTTAATAGTAATTATTTTTATATTATCTAAAACGCTTTCTTAAATAATAATTTCACTGTTCAACGCATGATTTATTTTATTTAATTTTATAAAGAGTTTTGTGTTATATAATTAAAATGAAGGCATTTCCTCGTAAAATAAAATGCATTTTTAAGTTGTGAGTCGTTTCGAGTTAATTTAACATGTCAGCTTAAGATTTTCGATGGACATTTGAATTATCGAATGCGAGGAAAATATTCGAGGCTACAAATGTCCGATCGAATGTTTTTTTAGTGCAATTATAAGCGCAGACAGGTTTTTTTTTTTTTTTTTTTTTTTTTTTTTTTTTTAAACATAATAATTACATAAATATCGGTGAACTAAAGCTCTCTTGGAATAGCTTATTTTGCTAAAACAAATACAAAGGAATCGCTTTTTATTTTCTTTATCGTCAAAGGAGTTTAGTTTGCATAATAGTCGAAGCTTCGTGGAAATCATGCATTGGCAGTGATCTTACAACTTAAGCAAATGGAGCGCTTTCATCAGGGTACAAGTAGCAAACGTATTTAGAAATATTGAAAAGGAAAAATCTTAGTATATCGAGAAAATTAGCAGAATTCATGTTCTATCGGTCGATCGATCGTCCATCGATACTAAGTGACGCATTCACCGATGGGAGGATAACGTGCCAAAAGAATTATCACAGACCCATGCGTGCGCTGTGATAGCGATGCGGCGATTTGTTTCACAGTCTAATTAATGCCATTAGTTAAGCAGTTAATTAATGAATTTGATATACAGAGCGAGAGAGCGCACTTGGCTGCTTACGTTTCGGAACGCCGAGCACTCCCTCGCATTTTTCCGATTAAGGCGAATTTACTCTCGGAAAAGTCGTAAGCGGCGCGTTCGCTGTGCGTCGGCACACTTTTCCAGCTACTATTTTCTAGCTCGTTTCATGTTTTTAGGGTGTCGGGGAAAGTTCCGGCGAATCGAACTTTCGGCGAATCTGTCTTTCTTTCATTTGCGTCGCGTTGACGTTCCATCGCGACATTTATTCATGTTTATAATCACGTTGAGCATTGGCAGAAGTTGGAAGATTCGAAAGCAATTTTGGCTGTTTCGCGAACAACACTTTTTTCACGAGCCTTACTTTCAATTAAGAAAACGAATAAGAGTTTCTAATAGGCACCGATACATAGATTATAAAACATGTCAGATAGCATTGAAATCACAATGCTAATTCACAGTAAATTCTAATTAAAGCAGACGAGAAAATTAAGTGTCTTTATCTGAGATAAATATGGAGTTTGGTGTTAAAGTGTAATGACTCTAACACTTTCGTTACGGTGTACATTGAAATTAATATTGTATTTGTAAAAATTAGGTGCTAATGTATAGTTTAACATGTTGATCATCGACAATGAAATTTTTCAATTTAATGAATATTAGTAGATCGTTAAGGAAGTTTACGCTTTATGCAAAATGATGAAAGTGGAGACAGTTGATTTACACAATCATCGAAAATGTATGAATTACCCATTGATTTATACGTAAAATTTTTGCGTAAAATTTTTACGTAAAATTTGATATTGCAAAACTTTTTCATTATCTTACGCGTATATTTTTATTAAATTTTAATATTTAATAATTCATTTCTTATGGTCTAGTAGATTTCATTTAGATTTTATAGATTAAATTGGCATATTTCTTTTGTACAGGTGACTTTGTACAGATTTTTCATATATCAGGTAGAATTTTCCTTGCTGAAAGGCCATTATTACACAACGGTCCTTACATTCCTTCGATTAATAATATTTACTCAACTTTCCAAATAAATTTATTAAATTTTTCCTATCATTATCATTATCATTATTATCATTGTCGTTGTCGTCGTTGTTGTTTTTGTTATTGTTATTGTTATTGTTATTGTTGTCGTTGTCGTTGTTGTTGTTGTTGTTGTTGTTTTTATTGTTGTTTTTATTGTTCTTGTTATTGTTTTTGGTAATTACAATGCTTTGAGGCACGATTTCAGGTACAAGGTTACTTTACTCACTGTACATGCTCATAGGTAATGACTGTAGCATAAGCAAACGCTTAACTTAATGCCAACATACACTTTTGTAGGTACAAAAATAGCCTGACTGCAAACTCAAAATTAAACTTAAACTTAAATTTAGCATAGATCATTTAATACTCGAACTCGAGGACTAATTTTTCATTCATGGCGCCACCATGAAAATCCATATCCACGGTACCTGCGACAGGTTAGGGGATCTTTCAAACTCTTAGCCATATTTTCAGATCATTATTCATTGTAACATCATTATACATTATGGTAGATCAATCACTAGACTAAAGAGAGACATTTTTTTTTTTTTTTTTTTTTTTTTTTTTTTTTTTTTAAATATATTCTTGAATATATTATTATTGACGTTTATTTTGAATTCTGAATTCTTTTCGTTCTCTGTTTTTTCCTTCATAAGTTTCTCGACATATAAAACCATCAGCTATCGAGCTATAAGTTATTAAAAAAATTATCACCTTCCAGTCTGATCAAAATTAAATCCCAAAGAAATAAGGTTTTCTAACGAAAATATTGTTAATGGTAAAGAGCGAATTGTTTGACACGATTGCTGTTCTCTAAATTAACAACACGACCGTAGCAATATCTCTTCACTTGGAAAATTTCCTTAAAAACGCGAACTTCAAATTTTATTGTTGTTGAAAGACTTTCGGATTGTTCCAATCAAATCACTTATATACGGTTGTAGTACGTCATCGGACATACTACTTTGGACGTAAATTATAATGACGTTGGTGACTAGTAATATGATTTTAGCTCCTTTCACAAGACATAGGGTACTTGATTATTTTCTGCAATGATAAAAACGATTAAAATATGTCTAGGTTTTTTTTTTTTTTTTTTGCGTATCGTTAATAATAATGATTCGACAGTAAAATTAAAAATTATATACGTTCGGGAGATGATGAAAATGTTTTGTTCCTTCTTTAACCAATGCTGTGTAATAATAGTTTACTAAGTTCACAGAATATAAAGATATAAAATATTCATTTAATTTATTTAGTAGTAACAATCGGGTAAGACACATAAAAATTTTTGTAACATAAATACAGAGATATTTATGATACGCAATATTGTAAAGTGTTTTTTATTTATGTACATAGAACAATTTAACATGTAATAGAATGAGAGTTATCGAGCGTTGAGGCTAAATTGTACTTAATTTCATTTCATCATAGAATTAATAGCTGTTCGCCGTCTAATATCTCGATCTGCTAATTATTATCTACAAAAAATTCATATTACTTGCAATTGCCACGTATATCGGCATTGCACAAATGTTATTTTATGTAAAAAAAAAAAAAAAAAACAAAAAACAAAAAACAAAAAACAAAAACAAAAAACAAAAACAAAAACAAAACAAAAAAAACATAGTATATTGAATAGCTTCAGTGGCTATTATCATATATTAAAATAAAGCTATTTTTTTCGAATTACTGATAAAGTATGGGAAATAAATACAAATTGTTGTATTATAAGTAATTAGATAATTGGATTAATTTGGGGTTTTACAATACTTGACATTTGAAAATTGAACATTGAAGTTTAATTACAGTCTTAATTGTCATAAGATTAATCAATTAGATATAGGCAAGTAATTTCAATTTTTCTTCAATGAATCATAGACAACATAATTTTTAATTTCTTATTTAATTTCTTTCGTCTTAAAGTTATTTGAATAAATTGTTAATATTTTTACGAACTATGTCCGATAGATGATTATGTTGTATATCGTTAAGCTTAACTAAGTAAAACCAATAGACCTAAGTGTAGCGATTTTTGAAAAATCAATTATATGGAAAAAAAAGCGAATTCTCGATGGATTAATGTTAAAGCAATTAAAGTGATTTACGCCTACGATTTCACATCACTTAAATTTATTTATTTAGCTTATAAACCAATGCATGATAATTTATTAAATGTAAAATTAAAAATGTATTCGTTTGTCATAAGGAGTATAAAGTTTTCCACTTCTGAGAATACATTTTTCATTGTAAATAGCGAAGGAAACTTTTTTTTTTTTTTAATTTGAAGACAGA